ACTATTCAATACCATTGCTACATAGTGATCTGATCTAGGAAGCCTATTTCTCATTACAAAGTAGTTCATATTCAGTAGATTAAAATTAAGATTGCTGTAAGAATTCATGTTTAATTAATAAAGGTGTTATTAGGTATAATAGGTATTATAGTAAAGGTATATATATTTAAAGGTATTTTATATATATAATATATAATATAATATATATATTAATATACACACATGTATTTTTCTGTTCTGACAACTGAGAGGGTCTAAAAGAAAAGACATTCCAGGAGCAACAATCACACTTAGTGCCCAGGTCTTGGTTTTTAGGACATTCTCCAATAAAAAGAACCAGGTCTTCCTGGAGAAATGGCTGACTCTAGGACAGGGTCAGGAAGAGCCTGGAGCAGTGAACTTGAACGAAATAAAGAAATCCACGATGGTGGGGATGAAGGAGGTATGCAGAAAGAACCCAGGAGCCAAGAGAAAGAGCTATCAGTGGGCCAGACTGGAACAGTTTGAGCGGCAGCAACAACAAATAGTATTAGATTATAACCCAAATTATAAAATGAATATCTGTGAGTCCATATTGATGTAAATAAATTACAAAGTAAATTAATACATAAAGGAGAGAAAAATCTTCCATTCAGAATTCCAAATAAATTATGGAGATACTTTGCCCTAGGAGGGGAAGCATAAGTCCCTACTTCTTAAGTGTGGGGTTTATTTATTACAAATATTATAATATAGAAAAGGAATAACTTAATGGTGGAGAAACCTGACACATATGACTTCACCTGGATGATCAAGGTGAATATCAACAGTCAGAAATTATGTTGATGGTATGGAACGTTGATATGATGTGATGAAAAATGGCATTTTGCCTCTGTGATATTCCTCCACAAAACCCATGACCCCAGGATAATTGTGAGAAAAACACAATTTTATAGAGGGACCTCTTATAATATACTGGATCTGTACTCCTCAAAGGTGTCAAGGTTATCAAAAACAAGTTTGAGAAACCGTCTTAGTCAAGAGGAGCCAAAAGAACATGACGATTAAAGGTAATGTGACATCCTGGTGGGATCCTGGAGCAGAAAAAGGACATTACATAAAAACTAAGGAAATCTGAATAAGCTATGGACATCAGTTAATAATAATGTATGAATAGTGGTTTATTAATTGTAACAAATGTAGCATATAGTGAGATGTCAAAAATAGAAAATATACTATTTTTATATCTGTATACATTTTCTGTAAATCGAAAACTGTTCTTTAAAATGTATATTATTAATAAAAATAATTGGGAGAAAATATTTCAGTTACTGATTGCGTCCTATATACTAGGACCATGCTAGGAACTTTTTGTTCATCGTAGCCCAGGGAAACAGCTGTCCATCCTAAGTGAATGCAATCCTCTTGAATGTTGCTAAATGTTAGAACATTTATGTTAGAAAACAAAATCCCGTATGTTCGAAGCTTTGGAACCCTTTTTTTCTCTTGCTATACAGCAAGCTGATATTGGCATAGATAAGAATGGGTAAAATTATTTAATGTATTTAATGTTAGAACTGTGATTTTTAATTACCTGGCACATGTAAGAGGAACTTTTTTCTCTTGATGCTGATTTATCAAACTTAAAAATGAACATGGTGCGTCACGACAATTATGTTATTTCTGTCAGGGTGTATGCACATTTTTTAGATATTTGGTCTGAATTTGATAGTCTTTGAACTTAATATATCTTCTGCGCACCATCAGCTGACATCATAATTTCATATCTGATACTTGGATTGGCAATGTTCCTACTGTATCACTCATAAAAATGAAATCTTGACTAGGAATAAATGTATTCTTAATGGGATATTGTGTAAATCAAAGAGAAAAATAAAAACACCTGGCTAAATTAATTTGTGAGCAGAATCTACTAATGTTGAATGGCAGCCAAGCATTCCTCATTGTCCCTTGGAACATCAGTTCCATGTGATTTAATAGGTGTTCTGCCGAAAACTGCGGTCATACAAGTTTGGGAAAAGCTAGGTTTAAGATAAATGGGAGATTTTTCCAAGTCTTCTCATAATATACTAAGGTATTTTGTGATTCCTCAAGTTTGTATAATTTCCCAAGCTTTTTTGACCACAAAACCCATTTTCAAAGAAAACATTATTATTCTAAGAAAGCAGTTTCTGTGGAACTCCAATTAGGAGCACTTAGCCTAGGTTGATGTTTCTCAGAGGCCGGTCTTGTGATCAGCAGCATCAGCACCAGTCAGGAAATTATTAGAAATGTAAATGCTTGGGGGCGCCTGGGTGGCTCAGTCGTTAAGCGTCTGCCTTCGGCTCAGGTCATGATCCCAGGGTCCTGGGATCTAGCCCCGCATCGGGCTCTCTGCTTGGCGGGAAGCCTGCTTCTCCCTCTCCCACTCCCCCTGCTTGTGTTCCCTCTCTCACTGTCTCTCTCTCTGTCAAATAAATAAAAATAAAAATCTTAAAAAAAAAAAAGAAATGTAAATGCTTGTGTATCACCTTAAACCTCCTGAATCAGAAACTGTTGGATCGGAGCCCAGCAATCTGTGTTTTAATAAGCCTTTCAGGTGTTTCTGATGCATGCTAAAATCTGAACACCATTAATCTAGGAGAAACTCACATCTTGAACTTAGAGACCAATGTTGTTGATTGCTTAATATCTTTACTATGGTTGTTCTCCTTCAAAGGACTGATGTCTTCTAATAGACTGAAAGCCATTAGTTCATCTGGACTTTCAAAGGAGCTATATATGAGTTCTTGGTACTCAGAATGGGATCAGTAGGATATATTGACTAAGAAATCTGAGATGAACCAAAACAGTTCTTTGATTCTCTAAACATCTGATTTGTTTAATGTGGAATGAACGAGGGGGGTCTTATTTCTTTAGGTAGGACTTGAAAGAAAGATGACATTATAGAAAAGAAATAAATACTTTGTTGTGGACTATGAGAAACAGCTTTTATTTTGAGGCAAAAATTTACTCAATAAAGATAAAGAAGGTAAAAATAGATTGGCAATGTAAAGAGTCTGGGTGGTTAAGCATCACATATCACTCTGGGTCCAGATTGCTTGGGTTTGAAACCCTGCTTTTTCTTGGGCAAGTTCTTTAATACTCTAAGCTTCAGTTTTCTTACCTGTAAAATGGGGTTGCTAATAGTATATCTTGTAGGATGCTATAAAGATGAAATAAATGTGTTAATGTATGTTTTGATGAATTCTTTTTTTCAGTTTATTGAGGTATGATTTATAAATAAAAATGGTATGTGTTTAAGGTATCCAATGTGATGTTATGATATATATACATACTGTGAAATGATTACCACAATTAAACTAATTGACATCCATCACCTCACATATTCACAATTACTTGTGTGTGTGTGAGTGTGTGTGTGATGAGAACACGAGATCAACTGGTAGCAAATTTCACATATACAATACATTATTATTAACTATAGTTATCATGATGTACATTAGGTTTCCAGAACTTACTCAGTTTATAACTAAAAGTTTGTACCCATTGACCAGAATCTCCCAATTTCCCTCAGCCTTCAGTTCTTGGTAACCACAATTCTACTCTCCATTACTATGAATTTGACTTTTTTTTTTAGATTCCACATGTAAGTGAGATCATGCAGTATTTGCCTTTCTGTGTCTGGCTTATTTCTCTTAGTATAATGTCCTCCAGGTTCATCAATGTTGTTGCAAATGGCAGGATTTCCTTCTTTTTAAGGCTGAATAGTATTCCTACACACATATATATGTCACAAATTATAGCTATAGTTATTCTAATACCTTTGTCTTTTAACCTTTATACTAGAGTTAAAAGTTATACTACCATTAGAATATTCCGAGTTTGTCTATTTGCATACCTTTATCAGTGAGTTTTATGTTTTCACATTACTTTCACATTTCATGCTAGCTTCCTTGCGTTTTAGCTTGGAGAACTCCTTTTAGCCTTTCTTATAAGACAGGTCTCATGGTGATGCACTCCCTAACCTTTTATTTGTATGGGAAATACTTCCTTTTTCCTTCATTTGTGAAAAAATAGTTTTGCTGGTTCAAGTATTTTTAGCTGTTAGTTTTTATCTTTTAGCACTTTGAATATATTATCCTGTTCTCTCCTGGATTGCAAGGTTTCTGCTCAGAAATCTGCTGAGGTTTCCCTTGAATGTGACAAACCTTTTCACTTGCTACTTTCAAAATTTTCTCTGTCTTGATTTTTGATGATTCAATTATAATGTATTTCAGTGAAATCTTTGAATTAAACCTGTTTGGGGGACCATTAAGCTTTAGGGACCTGAATATCTGTATCTCCCCAGATTCGGGAAGTTTTCAGACATTATTTCTTTAAATAAGCTGTTCCTTTCTCTCTCTCTGCATCCTTCTGCAACTCCCATAATGTGTATTTTAGTTTTGTTGATGATGTCCCATAAGTCACATGGGCTTTCTTCAATCCTTTTCCTTCTTTGTCCTTTTGTCTCCACCGACTGAATAATTTCAAGTGATTTGTCTTCATGTTTACAGATTCTTTCTTCTCTGATCAAGTCAAAGTTGACAATCTTTATTGTATTTTTCATTTCACTCATGGTATTCCCCAGTTCCAAAATTTCTCTTTGTTCTTTTGTTATGATTTCTGTCTCTCTGTTGAACTTCTAATTTTGTTCATGTACTGTTTTCCTGATTTCTTTGAGTCATCTGTATGTGTTCTCTTGTAGCTTGCTGAGTTTCCTTATATAATTACTTTGAATTCTTTTCAGGCAATTCATAGATCTCCATTTCTTTGAGGTTTGTTACTGGAAAATTATTGTGTTCCTTTGCTTATGTCATGTTTCCTTGATTTTTTTTTGTTTTGAGTTCCTTAAACTCTTGCATTGTTGTCTTTTCATTTCAAGAAACAGTCACATCCTGCAGTCTTTCCTGACTGGCTTCAGGAGAGAAATACCTTCACCAGTTAGCCTGACTAGGCACGCCTAGGCTGTTTCTGACATTTTGTATGGATGCACCCATTCCACATCTCTTGTTCCCCCTTGGGGGTAATTCTTAAAGTTGTATGCCTTCGTTTAATCTTGCAAAGGCAGGCTGCAGGAAGAGTTCCCTGTTTTGCCTCAGGTGCTGCCCCGAAATGCTCAAATTTGTGTGCTTTCTCCTAGTTCTCCAGAATAGGGCAGGCTTCTGTGCTTGTTTTGCAAGCTGTCTGTAAAGGCTCACACTATATATCTGTGGGGGCATGCATGAGGAACTGGCCAAAGTGGGGTGGGTGAGGTGCACACAACATAGAAGTTGCTCTTGGGCCATTTGAGGGAATATGCAGGCAAGGTATTGCCAGAGGCTCATGGGTAGGCTCCTTTATGAATTCTGTGCAGCATTTAGTTAGATCCACAGCCCTCTGATGATTTGGAGCCATTATTGCTGTGCTTCCAGCTCTTCCAAACCCGCAGCCTTGCGTATCACTTCAGTAGTCTAGGTGGGGCAAGAAAGAAGTGGACTTCTTGGGCAATATCCTGCTTGGCTGGAGAAACCATGTGCTCATACAGTATATTTTCACTTTCCCTGTGGGAGAAATTGCAGGCTGTTGGGGTTTCTCTTGGCACTGAGCAGTGCTCTCTTCGGGGATGGATGATTCAGGTAAAGTGAAACTGTTCTTTTCTTTTTACCCTCTTCAATGCATCTATTCTCTCTCTCTTTCTCTCTCTCTCTCTGTCTCTCTTTTTCTCCAACAGTGTATTGGAACTTCTCTGATGGACTCCTGGACTCCTATAAATATCTTCTCATCCATGGATGGTTGTCAAGATCAATGTTCTCTGGAGGGATAATGGTAGAAAACTTCTTCTATTCTGCCATCTTGCTCTGAGTTAAAATTTTTTAGCAATTAAATGAATAAGTTGAGTATGTGTTACATTAGTAAAAAACAAATATGAATAATATTGATTCTAGTCTTCTATCTATGATTATGTGAGGGTTTTCTTTGATTATTATAATGAAGATGAAAGTTTGATATTTTATTATATTTTTATGTGTTTTGTATTGAAATGGTTGAGGAAATAATAAAATTGTATGTTGTAATCTGGGTTCTTCATTCATTCATTCATTCCACAAATTTCCATAACTGTGTACTACTTAAAAATTTCTATAACTGCACACTACTTAAAAATTAGTTTTCCTTAAAAAAAAATTAAAAAAAATTAGTTTTCTTGATCTCAAAATGATCATGACATGGTTGATGTAGTTTTCAATCAATTGATTCTGAACTTAATAAAATAAATTTCTCTTCTGTATTTTATTATATAATCTGCTATATATTTTTTAACGTTATTCTTTAGGTAGGTTAGATTTCTCTAATTTATGTGTGTTGTTTCCACATTTACTGATCAGAGAAGACTGCTGACATTTAAGAAATAGGGTTGAAAAATATGAGGCAGGAAGATACTGAGTTGTAATTTAATTAATAATAGGTATGTTTATTTAATAATAATTTGAGACAAAACACAATCTTTGTTAGAAGCTAAATTCTAAAATGCACTTGGATTCATAAAATTAATCCATCCATGTGGAATTCATTTAAAAATTTTTTGTCCTTCCAGTTTTAGCCAATTATCTGTTGAAATATCTTTTAAGAGAAGGACTGAAAAAATAGTTTCAAGATTAAGCTGAGGTAATAAACTAAACATTAAACAGAGTTCATACATACTTTTAATTTAATTTTGGTCTTTTATTAGGTCCTAAGTTTGAATATAAAAATTTACATATATATGCTCTAACTTTATATTCAATGCCAAACACTTTTATTCAACTAATGATTAAATCTGGGCCACACAGCTATAAAACCAAAGAACACATAAGCATACTCCCTTTAAGTTTCTATTTTTATTTTTGAAGCTTGACTAAGTACTTATTATTTCCACATTGCCTTGAATAATCAGTTTGTTGAATTATTTATTTTGACTATTCTGTATTTTTTATTCCATATCAATGAACTAATGTCTTTCTCCTTTTTTTAATAATTTTTTATTTTCTAAACACTTATCTTCCCAATACATAAGTAACAATCCACCCTACTTTTTAGAATATTTGGTAAAAGAGTTAACATTTACATAAATTTGCTTTGGCGTTCTGCCTTTATCAGTAGTTATAAAAGTGATTTGTGGGTGTTTTGTCCAGTTTTGACTTTTGTACATGCATTTTTTTTAATGCTTTGTCTTTTGTGACGAGATCTCTAGAGTTCTATGTTAACTCTTCATTTTTAGGTGTTATATCCTCATCAATCTCTCCCTTTTTCTTTTCTTTTCTTTTCTTTTTTAAAAGATTTATTTATTTATTTGAGAGAGAGAGAGAGAGGGAGAGAGAGACTCAAGCTGACTCCACACTGAAGGCAGAGCCCCACCGAGCCGAAACCAAGAGCCCAGCGCTTAACTGATTGAGCCATCTAGGAGCCCTAATCTCTCCCTTTTTCAAATGTAATAATGATTAACATTTCTTGGAATATGTCTTGCATGTTTCTCGATTGTTTCAGGTATGTATGCCTCACATCCAAATGTATTATTAAGCTATAAAAAGGCAGAAAATTTGAGTTCTGATAGTAGTTTATGCTGGCTGATTTTGTAGAATGAATGAACTCAGAGTTTTTTGAATGACAAATGAGAAATAAGAGGATGTCTTTTATGGAACAACTGATTTTTATTTACCAAACAAACTGTTGGATAATGTTTACTATATAAAGCCAAGCACTTTATACATGTTAACTTACTTGATTTCGATAATCAGTCTTCTATGAGGTTGTAATCTGGGTTCTGATATTCACTACCTATATAACTTTAGGCAAATTAACTCCTTTGAGTGTCAGTATTCTCATCTGTAATAGAATAGTCTTCTCAAAGTGTTTTGTGAAGATTAAATAAAATATCATTTATAAAGGTCCTGGTACATAGTAATAATTTTTCTTTGTATTATTGATTTTCCTAGAAACCATTAGATATGTAAATGGAGATTGAATGTATTTTTAACAGTTCTAAATCTTTCATTTATACAAGATCTAAGAGAGCTTGCTGGTTTGCATAATGGGTTGTCAGTCAGCGTTGATTAGTGCAAGAAAGAGAACAACCTAATCTGAAAACTTAGTAAAAGTATTAGTGGGCCAATGGGAAAGCCAAAAGTGGCATTGCCAAGAGAAAGAATTCAAAAGGATTAGCATGCTCAATTAACAGAGCTCCAGATGACAACTAAGTCAGTCATGCACAGCATTTCTGCCTCTTACCTCTCCTTTCTCCGTTTCTAGCCCTGAAAGATCTCAAATGAGAATTGGAAATTTGGAATACTGGTGAAAGAGAAAAGTCTACACCATGACTCTCTCTTCTCTAACATAGCCTTCCAAAGGGGAAGTCAGTCAGAGCAGGGAGTGGAAAGACAATTTAAGTAAACTTAAGAATTCTCATATAAGGTGAGAATGGACTTTTTATTACCTTACAAAAAGAGACTTGCAGTAATCAGGAAATCAATAAATACTTCTCCAAATTTTACCTAAAGATGAGAGCAAATCTTGGAGTAGATTTACAAAGACAGTGGTAGGAAACAATAAAATTACTTTCTTTTTTTGCACCTACTATATCCAACTCATCCAATAAAGTGTTAGGCTACAATTCAATTAATTAAATTGTTACATAACTTTTTTTTTTTTTTTAAGTAGGCTCCATGCCCAGCGTGGAGCCCAACCTGGGGCTTGAACTCACCACCCTGAGATCAAGACTTGAGCTGAGATCCAAGAGTCAGACACTCAACAGGCTGAGCCACCCAGGTGCCCCAAATTGTTACCTAATTTATAATTTTTTTGTAATCAGAGAATATGGTAAATATCTATTATAAGCTTTTACGTGTTATAGGTGAGGGAGATACCCATGGAACAAGATTCATGCCAGGTGCAGGGAATTAGCCCTACTTCTGAGAGTTGACATCCTTTTTTCTTTCATATTAGGGGTTGAAACTTATTCCCACATACACTTGTCAATATTAATACATTTGTGATGTGTTTATGTTATAAATGAGAAGAATGAGGGCAATTCCAGTTTTTGGGAGGTTAATACAAAAGACATGTTAAGAGGTTGCTGCAATAATTCAGAGAGATAAGTACCTAAGCAAAGGTGTAATTAATGAAAAAAGAAAGGAAGAAATATAATCAAGAGATACTTTGCAGGGAAAATTACAATTTTCAGTTTCTAACTGATAAGTAAATGAAGAAGAAGGAATAATTTAAAATGACTTCAAATTTTCAAGATTTCATGGCCAATTGTATAACAAGAATGCCTGCTTTAGTGAAATAATTTATTTCCAAGAAAAATAACTTTGCAACTGTAACAGCTTAATTTATACTTCCTGACCCTATTGTGCTCTGGTGGGCTTTGCAATGCCAAGGGTTTGGGGTGGGGTATTAGGTGAAGAGGGGTCTAGTTCTTGGTCATCATCTATTGGTGCTAGCAACTGAAAAGACGGCTATGTTTCCATATGATTTTTGCCCTGTCAACATTCCTTTTTCTTTCTGTGTGAAAGACCATCAAGATGCCTAGGGCTCACTGCTATGTCCATACTATTCTTGGTAACATAAGAAAACTGAACTTATCTGCCTCCATGAAGCACAGTAGGATGCACATAAGACTCATATTCACAAGGGTTGCTACAAGAAACAAATGGCACACTCAAATTAATGTATTTCAGAGAGTTTATTCACATAGGAACTAATTACAAAGATGTGGGGAATGTAAGGAGCCAACAAAAGTTAGTACAGGTACACAGAGCTAGCAGCAGACCCTAAAAGGGAGAGGAGAAAGGCTACCAGAACCTAGAAAGGGAGACATTAAGAACTAAAGGCTGACTTGGAAGGAGCAGTGATCATTCAAGGGACGCAGCCAACCTAAGGTGACTATTCAGGAAAGGCTTCAAGGGAATAAATATACTGGTATCACACTTTGTCTTCATTTTCTTCTGCAGTCCCCAATGGCTAAATCCCACTGGAACCAGTAGGAAGAGAGCAAAATAGAGAAGGGAGTGAATCTGGAGGGGCAAATGGAAGATATCTGGCATGAGATATCAGATATGTCAGCTTGGATATCACCTTTGGTAATTTCTTCTCTATTGACTTTTAGTCTACTGAGTTCAAGGTGTTTGCTTGTTTGCATGTTTGTTTTACCATACTTGCCAGTTTTTATGCTGTATTGGAGATAAGAGCCCTTCCTCTTAGATCCTTCAAATCTCTCTGAGGTTCCTTCTCTGGGCTTGGAATGTCAAAGGTGGTTCATTTCTACTTTAGGGACAAACAATATCTAAAGCATTTTCAGTCTGTTTTCTTCTTTACTCCCTTTACTTATAAGCTTTTATTTCTGATCGGTTCTTATTACTCCCATCTGATGATTATTAAAAAGTAAGCAAGCATCAATTAGTTCCAGATGCCTATATTACAACTGTACCAGAGAAACATGACAGGGTTGGACAAAGAAAACCCAGAGTGGTGACAGAGGTGGAGACTCTGAATAAAGACTTCACGGAAAGCGGGACCTCAAGTCAAAACATCAGAGTGTAATCAGTGTTGCATCTGACATTTAAATAACTCTTTCTCTTCAGAGATGCACAGACCTAGACCATGGGCTACATGCATTGGATCTGTACTAGGGTTAAGCAAATATCTTATTATTCATTCTTATTCTCTACCACAGCTTTCCCCCACAAAGATCACTTATTTGGGTGGTGGTCAAAACCATGTTCTCTATATTTGAGACCCACAGGATTCTCTCAGATACTTTTTAGTATAATGTCCAAAGTAAAAATTAACAAATAACTCTAGCAATCAACAACAACAGAGGAGAATGACCCACCAGGAGTGAAGGTTTGTGTTATTCTGCTGAGTAAAGAATTCAGTCTAGTTGATTTCCTGCTTGAGAACAAAGGGCACATTGGATAGTGGAAGAAGGAAATGATAAAATATCACCTACAGCTTTGCTTTATTGCACACTGGTGACAAAGAGTGGTGTCAGCATAATCCTTGTCCCTCTTTCCTAATCGCAGGGGGGGAAAGCTTTCAATATTTCACCATCAAATATGTTTGCTGTAGATTGTTTTAAGAAAGTCTTTATCATATTAAGAAGTTTTATTCTACTCCTAGTTTGCTAAGAGTTTTTACAATGACTGGGTATTAACTTTGGTCAAATATTTTTATTCTGTAAATATTGAGATGATCAAATATCTTTTCCTTTTTAACAGTTATGTGGTGAATTAACACTGAGGGTTTGTTTTTTGTTTTTTAACATTGACTTATTTTTGAGTGTTCATCCAACCTTGTGTTCCTGGGCTAATTCTCTCATGGTTGAAGTGTATTCTTATTAAATATCACTGCTTTCAATTTGTTAACATTTTGTTCAGCATTTCACTAAAATTTTCTTTTAAGCACTACTTTAGATACAGTCATCATTTTCAATATGTTCTAACTTCACTGTAATTCAACTCCTATTAAATTTAAAATTTTGATTTCATGTATTCATTTATGTATGGGCTATACAAACATGATAATAGTATTTCTTAAATTTCCAAACATTTGGCAATTTTCTAGTTATCTTTTTGTCTATTTCTAGTTTAATTCCATTGCACTCAAAGTACATATAATACATGATTTCAGTCTTTGAAATTTGTCAAGACTGTGTTGTATCAGCATTAACAGCATAAATTTTGGTTAATGATCCATGTGTATTTGCAAAGAAGTTAATTTGGTCATTGTTAGATGCAATGTTATATATATGTTAAATAGATTAAATATATGAATTGTGCTTTTAGGTTTATATCCCTATTGATATTTGGTCTGCTTGCTTCATCATCTATTAAGAAAAGTATAAAATCCCTTGTATGATTTTGGATGTGTCTACTGTTCCTCTCATTCTGTCAAATTTTCCTTTTATATTTTTCCTACTATTAATTTATTAGTGACACTTCTTAAAAACTAGTCTTTATTTTTCTTCATTGCTACTAAATTATACAAATATCTGTCCTTGCCTTGTAACAAATGATCACGTTTCTATTTCTGTAATAGTGCTAAAACTCTGGAACACTTTCACTCCCTTTATTCCAATTCTGTTTTTACATTGTTGGCATAGATTTTATTTCTACATACATTTTAAACTACATTGGGCATTATATTATATTTTGTTAATCAAATCTGTTTATGTTTCCTCACATTTATGTCTTCCATTTCTCTTCAATCCTTCTTACATTTCTGTGTTTCCATCTGGAATGATTTTATTTCTACCTGAAGAATTTCTCTAAGATGATATAAACTTTCTTTATCATGCTCTTTACTTCATTCTGAGCCCTCAGCAGCAAGTGCCTTTAACCACTGCCAACAGTGTGTTAGTGAATTTGAGTCTTTTTTTAGCATGCTCCCTCAAAATTCTCCCAACCTCTACCCATTACCTAATTCCAAAGCTACTTCTACATAGTTAGGCAACCCCATTATCAGTACCAAAATCTGTCTTGCTTTTCTATTGTTCTGTCAACAAATTACCACAAACTTAGTGGCTTAACAACACAAATTATCTAAGGTTTAGAAATAAATGGGTCAGCAGTGCCATCTGTTTCCTTGTCTTTTCCAAAAGCTTTCTGAGGCTACCTGCATTCCTTGACCTATGGTGTCTTCCTCATCTTGAAAACCAGAAACAGTATTTTCTGGCTTTGACCCTCTGTTCCATAACAACACCTTTTCTGACTCTAATCTTGCTGCCTTTTTATTAATCTCAGGGCTATTGTGATTATATTGTGATTATCAGGATAATCCAGGATAATCTATCCATCTCAGGGTGCTTAACTGACGAGGGAGGTATCATATTCACAGATTTTGGGGACTAGGATGTGGACATCTTTGGGTGGTTTTTATTCTGCCTAACACGTGCACTTAATTTGAGAGTATACATTTCAAGCCCTGAATCCTACAGAATTTTGAATTTTTAAATTTAAAACACTTCTTTTTTGCCCACTTAAGCTATTGCTTATGTTCTGAAATGCCAAATCCAAGATTGTCTTATTTTTCCTTAGTATGTCTGCTGTGGCCCTCCTTCTTTCAAGCAGAAATGGTAGAATGCTGTACATGCTGGAAGGGCCATGGAGTACAATGGGAATGGAGATCAGACACATCTTTTGATGTCTCCATGTATCTCACTATATTTGTATTTCTTTTTCATGCTGTAGGCTCAAAATTTTCTCCCCAAAAGTCTATTCTTCACCTTTTATATTGGGTAAGTTTAAGTACTTATCCAGTATAGTGTTAACTAAACTCATAGAATCATATAGCAAGAGACTTCTATTAGTTATGGAATAATATGAAGAGAAAGAATGCTTTCATTAAAGGCTGACATCTAGGGTGCAGTACCTGAGAAGAATAAACATGAGGGCAATAAAATCTCATTGTCTAGTCTTTTCTGATAACATGCTTAAGCAACTTTACATTTGAAGCATAACTTTGCTAGTTAGTGTTTCTGTTGATTTATAGTACTTCTAGTTAACAGCCCTAAACTTTTAGTTAGGCTTTAGCATGTGCTGCTGGTTAAGATGCCATGAGGTTCTTACACTTAGTCTAACAATCATATCTGGGCATCTTTCTTTTTCATATAAAAGTCATTCTCTGGAAGGATATATTTTTTAACTAAGGCAAGCTCTCTTGAGGAAAAATGAAAGTACAATTTTGACACCTTTTGCCACAATCAAATGATCTAAAAAGATTGCTTTAGAATGTTGTTGGGGAAAATCAACTGTGTAAGGCTATATGGAAAAGACATATTTTAAGCCTTCTAGAGATTATGGAATTTGGCACAGATGAAGAAACAGATATGTAGTCAGTGGGTTTTGGGCCATGTAATCCATGGAGCTCTGAGGATTTCATGGAGGGGCCTCAGAGACTGATGCAAAGAGTAAAGGGTCAAATAGGCCAGTCTTCAACCAGAGTGTTCTGTTTTATCTGATTTATGTGTTAGTTCTGGATACCCTTTGTTTGAACAAAGGCTTTTTTTTGGCTGAAAAAATTGGATAGGCATTGCATCAAATAATTTGGCCTAAATCCTAGTCAGTGAGGGGCGGGGCCAGGACTAGATTCTAGTCATTTCATTCCTTTGCTTAAACCCCTTCAATGGCTCCCTGTCAATTTCAAAATAAAATATATACTCTTTCATCATGGCATGCAAATTCTTGCTGACCTGATTCTTGTATACTTCTTTAGCTTATTTCCTGCTCTGCAGTCTTCTTCATGTACTGATGACTATCTATAAGTTACATATTATACCTGGGGTATCCATCCCTGCTCTCCTGCTACCTGGCAAGCTTCATAACTTTTGAAATTTTTTCACTTCTTGTGTCCCTGTACCTCACTAAGGTTTAGGGCTCTGTTCTGTACTCCTGTAGAACACTTTATGTGCTCTGTTATGGGACTTTGAATAACATATGGAAATTGTTGTTTTGTCTTTCTCACCAAACTAAACTGTTCACAATTTGTTTTCTAAAGCTTTCATCTCTGGATCCTGAGTGCCTAGCGTAAGGATTAGATCAGCTTGATGATTAAACAGGTAAATCCCAATTTATTTTTTTCTCCTCAATTCCATGCCAGGAAGAAATATTCCTGGGGCATGAGAAACTAGAATGGTCACCTGGGCCAGCACAAGCAGACCCTAAATACTAGCAGATGGATTCGGGAGGCAGCATTAGGAAGGAAAGAAGAGATTCCAACTAGCATTAAAAAAAACTCTATAAATACACTTATTATTTATTTAATTAAATAGTTAAGCTCATAATTGTTAAGTATCTTTTATATAGCCCCAGACACTATTCTAAGTACTGTGGATACGGCAATGAAACATAGAGACAAAATATTTGCCTTGGGGCTTTCATTCCAGTGAGGGTAGGATAGATCATCAGTAATTACTTATATAATATGTCAGATAGTGATAAAGCTTCTGAAGAAAAGTAAAGCGGGCTGAGGGACACAAAGTAAATAAGAAAGGAGGTTGCTCTATTATAGAGTGATACTAAGAAAGACCTCCTTGATAAGATGAGGGGTGTGAACTGAATAAAGTCTGAAGAAAGTGAGATTGAGCCATGCTGGTATTTGTGGGAAGACTGCTCCAGGAAGAAGGAGCATCAAGTTCAAAGGCCCTGAGACAGAACTGTGTTTGAGAAAGAGGAAGGAAACCAGTGTCAATGTGACTATAACAAGTAAACAAATAGAGTGGGGAGGAGGTAAGGTCACATGGGCTATGGAACATGATCTGATAAGTCAGGGTAAGAATTTTGGTTCTTATTCTGGATGCAATGGGAAGTCATTTTGACCAGAGTTTTGATCTGCTCTGATTTTGATTGTCGAGGGGATCTCTGTATGTAGAATATAAGGAGGCAGAAGTAGGAGGAAGGACGCCAGTTAAGAGACTGTTGTAATAATGCAGGTAAGAGATGTTGATGGTTTGAATCAGAGTTGGAGTAGTGGAAGTGGTGAGAAATGGTTGAATTCTGGACACATTCAGGAAGTATAGCTGACTTGAGGTTAGACTATCTGTAGAGTGTGAGAGAAGGGAAGAGGCACGTATGACCCTTGACCAATGGGAAAAACAGTTTCCATTACTAAAGTGCGGAAGTCTGTTAGAAGAGAAGATTTGGGAGAAAACAAGACATTTATTCTAGATAGGGTAAGATGATTATTAGAAATCCAAGAGGAGACATGAAAAATGTAGTTGAATATTTAAGGGTTCAAGTTCAGAGGCACATTCAGGCAGGAGTGATAAAATTGAAAGTTATCAGAGTGTTGACAGTATTTACTGCCATAACTGGATGAGATCACTCTAGAAGTAACTGTCACAAGAAGAGTTCCAAGGCCTGAACCCTCAAAGCACTTCATTGTTTAGGAGTCAGGAAGATGAAGGGGGACTAGCAAAAGAGATTGAGAAGGAGAGGCTAGAGGGAAAAATTAATACAGTGCTGTCCCACATGGAAAATGAAATAAATTTTCTAGGAGGGGTTAGTTGATCAACTATGTTAAAAGTTGTTATGCCACATAAAATGAGAATGGGGAATTGCCCATTGGATTTGGTAGTTTGGAGTGAATTGGTGAAGTAGTAAGGACAGAAGCTTTATTGGAGTGGATTCAAGAGAAAATTGAAAAGAAATTAGATCTTGAGAGCCTCTCTATAAAATGTGGAGGGGAACATGGGATAAAGGAATTTGTTTATTTTATAATTTAAGTTGAGAGGTACTATAGCAGATCTTTAACTCAGCCTGCAGATGCTAATAGATTGCTGGCTGAAATCTTTGGAACTGGTAACTGTGTATCTGAGGATATAAGATACTGTTAGTTCTATATCAATAAGCAGGGCAGTAATAGGCAAGCTATGTGGAGGATAATGGGATTCCTGGATCAGGCACAAGTTGAAAGAAATTCTGGGAAGGAAAAGCACTGATGACAAACCACCTGACAGTTTTTATTTTTTTTACTTACTGCTGCCTTCACAAGGGGCCAAATTTCCCTATCTATGAAGAAACAGGTTTCCTAAAGATGTCAGGCATTTGATGCATGTAAAAAGTGCTCCATATTGGACGAGCAGCAGCTGTGGGTGTTGCTGAGGCGCTCACTTTTCAGTAGCTACTGCTTTTTAAGAGCACCATCAAGCAGGTCTTCAGTTGGAATTGATGTTGACAAATATTGAACTCATAAATTAAGTCCCACAGACTTCAACTATAGCTCACCAGCAGTCTTTCCAGTATTCCCTATCTTTGGGATTTCTGTTTTTAATTAAAGATTTCAAAGATAATACTTTAATTTTTAAATTCAACTTAGCATCTCTTAGCATTTGAAAAAAAAAAAGAAAAGAAAACCACAAGTGAGTAAGAAGTTCACCTTTCTTCTTGGTGAGTTCAAAGTAGCACCCAAGAACATCCTTATTTCAAAGGTGAGAAATTATAAATTCCTGACATATTCCTGTAGGCAAACTTGTCCCTGTGGTCTCAGAGACTTTTGTCTGCATGTCTTCTCTTGTTCTTTTCATCCTTTTGCTGCACCTTTATCTTGGCTTCTTGCCACCTTGTTGCACCAATATCTTAGATTTTGGCTGTGTGATTGACTCCAGTTTAGCTCCTCACCCAGTTGTCCCTGCTCTTGACTCACATTGACTCTCTGATTTCCTTCTCTAGACCAAGTGGGAGACTGAGTGCCAATCTTAAATTTAGGGGTGTGAACCTGGAATTCCTAACAACTTCTCTGGGATTTCATGATGTAGGCAGTCTGGAGTCAGGAGATCAAGACAGGGTGATGCTAAAGAGCTGAGAGCCATGGAGACAGGGTATGGGAAGTAGGAAGGCAGGACTCTATGGAACTTTCTTATCCCACAGGCCCACAGAGTAGCTCCTTTGAACATGGATCCCCAAGCCTGCCCTTACGGTTCAAAAGAGCATCTTTAGCTGAAACATGATCAACCATCATTTAACTCTTCCCTTAAACTCTAACTTTACCTCTTCCGCCATCTTGCTCACAGGTAGATATTACTTTGGAATGCAAAACGATGAAGCAATTTTCTCTAAGTAATAGCACAAAGTATTTGTGTTTTTAGTTTTTTCTATGTAAACAGGGATCTACTAGGCATGCTCTACCTGAAGCAATGCATTTTTAAATATGTAGTGTTGTGTCTCATTTGCAGCAGACATGTTGGGTTACAGATTTCCCCTGAAACGATACTAGATAGGTGACCTCTTAGACCATCAGTAATTGTATCTTACCAGTGGTTCTCAAGCCTTTTTGACTATAAAGCAAATAACTCACCATCTCCCTACTCTGCATGGCTTTATTGGCTAGTGAATAAACAAAGAATTGGAGGAAATAAAAATGAAACAAGGCAAAATGATAAATAAAAGAGAAATATAGCAGTAATTCTACAAATATCTAGCAGCAATTGGTAGCCACCAACAATGGAGGAAAACACTGAAAAGTCACTGATCATAAAAGGTTTATCCCCCACATTATGGAAAGTCCTGTTCTCTGAAAATGTAAATGCCAAATATGAGTTATATTGTTAAGTGATGCATGGTGTCAGAATCCTTAGTAGACTACACAATGTGATGCCTCAGTTAAACCCATGTTCTAGTTTTAGTTTTTATGCAGACTTTATAACTCACTTAGTAGGTTACTAGTGAGAAGTTCTTAGTCTTTTAGTGCCCAGAAAGGTAACTAGCACATGGTAGGTTTTCAGTGAATATTTATGAAAGGAATAAAAGAAAGAAAGAATAAATAAATTAAAATGAAACACTATGGAATTTGGAGTCTTTTACTGGTAAGAAGCAAACAAAAGATACGGGTGGATCTTATTTTAGATGTGTTTTAGCTAACTCAGGGAAAGCTAAATTGGGACGTGGGCTCAGAGGTGGACGTTAGTATGTGGAATCTTATTAAGGAGCAGACTGGGATCAACACTTGTGGTCATGAGGGAAGGAATTCAGATTAGAAAGATGCAAAAGTCAAGAGATGGGGTTGGCTCATCTACTTAGCTTTAAAAGCCATCTGGATACTGACAACCCTCAAGATCTGAACTCTCCAGGCTAAAACTCTCCTATAACATATCAGACTTGTGTATCTGACTGCCTACTTGATATCTCTATTTGAATACCCAACAGTCATCTCAAACTCATAATTTCCCAACCCAAAGTGCTCCTTTTACCCTCCAAACTGACTTCACTGGAAGCCTCCCTCACCTCATTTAATAGCACTCCATCTTTCTAGTTGTTCACGCAAATACTGTGCCATTATATTTAAGTGTTGTCTAATTCTCACCCCACATTAACTATGTCAGGAAATTCCTGTTGGCTTTAGCACCAAAAATAACCAGAATTTGACTATATCTCACCACCTCCACTGCAACCACCAAGGTGAGAACTACCATTGTCTCTTGCCTGGATTAGTGCAAAAACAAACAAACAAACAAAAAACCTTCTACTGATTCTAACCTACCTGATTACTCTGGATCCCTCTATTCTCAATAAAGCAGCTGGAAGTAACTATTTTTTTTTTTACAATCTTTTAAAAAATGTTTATTTAAAAAAAATTTTTATTAACATATAATGTATTATTTGTTTCAGGGGTACAGGTCTGTGATTCAACAGTCTTACACAATTCACAGCGCTCACCATAGCCCATACCCTCTCCAATGTAACTATTTTAAAACATAACTTAGATTTGTCCATCTTCTGCATAAAAATCTGCAAAAGCTTTTATTTTTACTAGAGAGCAATCCCTCAAATATATGTTTGGGCCACTGAATCAGCTGGGTGGGGTACTTGTTTAAATGCAAATTACTGGGTCATACCCACAGATCTCCCAAAGGTTTTCTATGCATGAGAAGAAAAACCTAGGAAAATTTCAAGGAGAAGAGATGACTTTGATGATGGACTGAACCTATATCAGGAAAGAAATGGAAGAGGATGGAGAATATCTATCTGTCCTTTAGAGGAAACCAGCAGGTTGTTCATAATTTTCCTGCTGATACCAAGAGGACGAGGCATATCCTGGGCAGTCCCAATCTGTACTTCATAAAAGTACAGAAAGATTTGGGACCCTGTTAATGATGTGGATGTGCCAAACTAGACTTTAAGGAAAACTCCATCTCCACAACATTGACAAGAGATGTCCATGATGCAGGCAGTCAGCGTACTCATAGGCCCATAGTAGACATTCTTTCTCAGTCTCACACTGGGGCAAAGCACACTGCTAGGGTTATGCTCCCCTTGGCCTGGAAGATTTAGAGGCCCAGCACAGTCCCTCCTCCAACATCTAGGTCAAGGTCACTGATTTGTCACTTTATATTTAAATATCAACTGAATAAAAACCAGAGGCCGTTTATCCTCTTCCTGTTTTACTTCCAAGAAAAATAATGTATAAACATGTGGTATTTATAGTTAGCATACCATATACAATTTAAATTGTACAATTTGCAGATGCATGTATTGTATTATTGTTTTCATACATCAAAGTATTGGGTAGACTTATTATTTTTATTTCCTGAGCATTAGAAAATGCAGAGATTAAGTATATTATGAGATTTATTTCCTTCCTTTCCTTCCATTTCTTTTTCAGTTGTTTTTAAGAAAATTACAACTACTGGATTTTTGGCCATCACACATTCTCCAGTTTTATTTAGATCTGCCACAATGATAGCTGACATGAACAGCATATAATATGTTGCTCTGAATGGCAAGGAAGTATGACTTCTGAATGTGATTAATAAAACAGTTGAGAGTTTTTTGCCAAGAGACGTTCCTCAGAGAAATCATTCCTTTTCTTTGAAAATGCCTCCCAAAGAATGCTGACTTTAATGTATGCCAGGACCCATTGACAAGTTTCATACCTGAGGATTCTTCAGAATAAATCTAATTAAGATGTGTCAAGGGTGTCCCAATGCAGAAATTGTCATAGCTAAATAAATGTAGGAAGAAACAATTTTTCTTGGCTTCTTTTTTGAAATGCTTTTCAAATAATTTTTTTAAAAAGATTTTATTTATTATTTTAGAGAGCGAGCGAGAGAGAAACAGCATGAGAGGGGAGAGGGTCAGAGGGAGAAGCAGGCTCCCCGCTGAGCCGGGAGCCCGATGTGGGACTCGATCCCAGGACCCTGGGATCATGACCTGAGTCGAAGGCAGACGCTTAACCATCTGAGCCACCCAGGCGCCCGCTTTTCAAATAATTTTTAATTGAGGTGTAATTGACATATAGCATTATATTATTTTCAGGTGTACTACATAATAATTTGATATTTGTATATGTCGTGCAATGATCACCACTGTAAGTCTAGTTAATATCTGTCCCCATACATAGTTATGAATTTTTTTCCTCGTGATGAGGACTTTCAAGATTTACTCTTAGCAACTTTCAAATACGCAATACAATATTATTAACTATAGTCACCATGCTATACATTGCATCCCCATGACTTATTTTATAACTGAAAGTTTGTACCTCTTGACCACCCTCACCCATTTTGCCATTCTAGCCATTCTGACAGGTATAAGATGGTATCTCATTGTGGTTTTGATTTTCACTTTCCTGATGATGAGTGATGTTACAGATCTTCTCATGTACTTGTTGGCCATCTGTATTTCTTTAAAGAATAACTTGTTTTATCAGTAGTACAATTCTATAAGGGAATACTTTAAACATTTAGCTTCTTAAATTAATAATTTCCTGAAGTTTGAAAGGTTGTATATTAATATAATGTTATAATAAATAAAGAATATGTATCCCATAGTAATGTCTAAAGTAGAATATTAGATATATATTTAGGAATTCCCTTCCTGCTTCTAGTTAAATATTTAGCTTAATTATTTTACTATTCATTCATAATACTATTCATTATTTCATTTAATGCCAATTGTTTGTTAATTAGAGAACTTCTTAAAAATTCTAAACAAAATTAGCAGTATGTTATGAGCATTTTTTTTCTAGATAATTTTGTGTTCAGTGAATTAAATAATACCTAATTTATTTTTCTGTAACTCTCTATATAAGGAATATTCAGAGTAACTAAAGATTGTCTGTTGTCTCTGTAGATTCTGGAAACATTTCTGAGAGTTTTCTCTCCAGCTATTATAAATGCTTTTATTTTGGGGGGAAAGGACCTTTTCCATTGTATACTATAAGGCATAGCAATATATTAAAAAGGATTGTTATTATAGATTTCTAAGTCAGTGCAAAAATTTAAATTAAAAGTCATATAACATAGTGATTCAACATGAAACAAAAGCCGAATGACTAAAGCAGACTATTACATTCTTTAGCTTGTCTTCACAACTGGTTTGAGTATCCACAGTCCAGAAGTAATGGTTCTGCTTCAATTTTTAGAAAATGAATTTCATATCTAGCGGGATACTTGCAATATGCAAACAAATCAGATTAATAGAAATTTAGCTTCTTCCCTGTATCAGATGATTTCTTCAAGTTACAGTGTGGAGGAGAGGGAACCAAATTATTGGAAAACTGCTAAAGTGACTGCTTTTGCAAATATCCGAATGACATATTGCATAAAAGACCTATAAACTATTAATAGAAGACTCTTAAAGTTAAACCATGGATTTTTAAGTTCTAACACCAAAATATTCCTTTAAAATAAATATATGTGCAATGGAAAGAATAGTTGTATGTCAAATTAGCTTTTAGTACTAACCACTTGGAGGAAAGCATGGAAATTATTCTTGGAAAGATGGAAAAAGCTAAATCATTTATTGGAACTGAGAAAAAGCCAATGTATTTGAAAATATTTATTTTCAGATAAACAGTTGAATAGTTGCTTAAGAATTCAAATGGTATTAAAAGGTCCATAGGATTATTTGCCAAATCATCAACATTTTTCAAACTTTTTTCTTTGATGCTTCCATTTTCTGCTGTAATTTCTAAATCTAATGGCATGAAGAACGATTTAACAAGACTAGATAAAGCACTGCATACTTGAGAGACCATGATTCTGTAAAATAACATAGTTCTGAATATACATAGAACACATATTTGTCATTACTAAGAAAGAGAATAAAACAAACATCATTTGCTTGCATTATATATTTTAATTTTTTCACTGTTATTTTTTAAATGAAATTAGTGATGGTTAAAAAAAGTAAACATCTTAGAAATGTTTATCATAGATAATGAGAGTCCTCTGTAATCTCAACCCCTAGGGAAAGTCCCTCTTAGTATGTTAGATTTGTGTACATGCCTCCTGGAATGCTCCTATGCATATATTAACACTTACAGTGTATTACTCCTTTAATATTTTTAGATTCAATTCCAATGTTTTGGGGGTTCCCCTACAACACCAAGCAATTCTCAAACACTGACAGGGTATGTGAGAATTTAATTCAATTCTGACACTATCTACCTGGAGATAACATCAGATTCCACAGGTTAAGGGTCCAGTCCTATAAGACTGTCCCCCACTCCCCACTTTAGATGCTAGTCACAAGCCCCAGGCTATTACCTGTGCTTCTGACCCATCTTTTGGACACTGGAGTTTCTAACAACCTCCTCCTTGGATGCAATTAATTTGCTAGAGTGGCTCAAAGAACTCAGGGGAACACATTTTCCAGTTTTGAAAAGATATAATGAATAAGAATCAACAGCCAGATGGAGAACTACATAGGGCGAGCTTCTGAACAGGGGAGCTCTGTTCCTCTGGACCTTGGGGCCTGGCTTGGTAGCATGTGGAAGTGTTCTGATTTCCCAAGCGTGGAAGCTCTCTAGATAAAGAAGACCCAAAAAACTGTACTCTTGGGTTTTTGTGGAAGCTTCTTTACTTAGTCATGATTGACTAAGTCATTGGCCGTTGGCTCCTTTAACCCTTAGCAAGAAGGGGACTGAAAATTTCAACCCTCTAATCATATAGTTGGTTGTCCTGGCAACTATTCCTGCCCTTGGATGGGGTCCCAAAGTCACCATTATTAATAACAAGACACCCATTTCACCTGGCTTCAGGAACTGTGGGTGAAGACCAAATATATCTGAGAAATACATTTTGGTCATCTGAATGACCGAGTATGTTATTTCTTATAAATCATTATACAGCGGTTACTTGATCATTTATATGCTTTGTCATGGAGAGAGATTTCAGATAATTGTTCTAGTTAACAAGAAAATCTGAGTAGTAGTTAAAATTCACTGCATATAACAACAAAAACTATCTTTAAAATACGATCTTTTAAAATAATTTACTATTAATAATAGTTAACATTTACTGAGCATTTACTATTTTATTATGTGTAGTTATTGTGCTAAATACTTTATGTAACTAATTTCTTTACACTCTTACTACCACTAGATGAGAAAGGTACTGATATTATTACTTCTTTTATTTTGGGAAAATGTAATTTGTGCACTATGTATTTCACATTCAAAGAGAAGGATACCCTAGTCATGTAGCTACAGGGTAGACTCTGCCTCCCCTCAGTCTCATACTCAGAGTCCAGACTTCTTTGCCTCAGACTCTATTTCCTTTTTTTAAAAAAATGATTTATGTATTTTTAGAAGTTTTTAGTAAATTTCAGTTAGTTAACGTATAGTGAAATAAATATTAGTTTCATGGGTACAATATAGTGATTCAACACTTCCATACAACACCCAGTACTCATCACAAGTGCCCTCCTTAATCCCCATCACCCATTCCCCCCCACCCCATCCCCTCTGGTAACCATCAGTTTGTTCTCTATAGTTGAGAGACTGTTTCTTGGTTTGCCTTTCTCTCTCTATCTTTTTCCCCTTTGCTCATTTGTTTCTTAAATTCCACATGTGAGTGAAATCATGTGTTATTTGTCTTTCTCTGACTGATTTATTTTGCTTAGCATAATAGCTCTAGTCCCTTTTTTGCAATCTACAAAATTCATCAGTCTTCTACATCTCATTTCCTGAATAAACTAAAATTTCTTGTTTGGGCCATCAGTCTCTGGTGATCCCTCTGCAACCAAATTTGTTCACCTAAAGCCCAGATGCTTCCCCATGTTCCAATAAGCCAAGCTGCTCAGTAATTTAGTACACTCTTTGGTCTCCAAGCTTTTTTTTACTCATGTCATCCTTTCATCCATGCCTTTCTTCTCTCTCCTATCAAAACCTACCACAAACCTATTGACTTTCCAGGGCCATCCCCATTACTGAGTCATTTACTAAGCATTCTCTGGCCACCTTAATAGAAAAGAACTCTCTTCTCAGACTCTTACAGAATTTAGCCTTAACTTCCCTATGATATTTATCACATATTACCTTGTTTTAGGATAATTTGTTCATATTCCATTTATACTTTAGTATAAATTCAAGCTTTTTGCAGTCCCATCTCAAAAATCATCTATTGGTCTACTACAACTATTTGAGTAGAATGTGCTTGATAAAAGCTTGTTGAATTCCATTGCCTACCTGTAGCTTGTAGAACACTTTAGGATTAGTGGGTCTGAAGTAAAGAGGAATAATCTTGCGTTAGAACTATTTTGTGACGTATCAAGAGAACTGAGTGAAGGAGAATTTGAAGGTGGAATATCTGAAAAAAATTATTCCTCTAGAGGTATAGGAATTGTAAACTAGACTATGTTAGCCTGAGAGACAATTGTTAAGGAGAAAATTTGAGGGATTTTTTTTTTATGGACACTAGTAGCATAATTAAAAGTAGGGAGAGACATGAGATGGCATATTCAAAGAAAGTGAGCAGGATAAAGACACTGAATGCTGATTGCAGCATCTTGAAGTCCAGGAAAGATTTGTGCAAAGAGGCCAGGAGAAATAGGTTGGCCATTTTGAGTGATAGAAATTGCCATAAAATTGCTGATAAAAAATGTGCTCTAAATGGAGCAAGGTGTGGTCTGATTGAGTTGAAAAAGTCTGGGATAGTCGTATATCAGCTAAAACAATAGCATAAATCATTTGTAAATCTGTGGAGTGAATGTTTTAAATCACTTTAGTATTGGAAGTGACCCCAGAAATCTTCTAAAGCTTAGGCCAACAGCTTCAATTTCCTGATGAGGCCAGAGAGGAGGTTTAGTATAGTTCAGGCCAGTTCAGTTGGGTGCTTGTTCTGTGACAGATGCAATCCTAGAAATTGGGCATATAAAGATGAAAAAACAAATAAACAAACAAACCAAAACCAAAACTCTATTCTTTTTTTTTTAAAGATTTTATTTATTTATTTGAGAGAGAATGAGAGCGAGCACATGAGAGGGGGGAGGGTCAGAGGGAGAAGCAGACTCCCTGCCGAGCAGGGAGCCCGATGCGGGACTCGATCCCAGGACTCCAGGATCATGACCTGAGCCGAAGGCAGTCGCTTAACCAACTGAGCCACCCAGGCGCCCCCAAAACTCTATTCTTACCCTTGATGCAAGACAGGCACATTAACAGATAAATTGAAAGCAAAATAGAATTATGATGAAGGCAGACAAGGTTTATTATGGGATTGGAGAATTGAAGCCTGGGTCTAGCTTTGGGATGATGGAGCTGAGTGCTGAAGAAAAACCTCTTGGGAGAGCTGACATCCAAAGTGGACCTTAAAAAATTAACAGGAAGCAAAGAAGTGGGATAGGGGACAGGTAGGGGGTATGGGCCACATACAGGCATGAAACGGAATCATGTATTTGGGAAACTATGAGTAATTCTGTGTCACTGAGGTATAAAATGCAAAGTAAGGAGGGTGGCTAGTGGGCTTGAGTAGTAGCAAGGACTATGGCAGGCCTAGTCCAACATGCTGGTGGGCCTGGATGATTCACCGTAGTGATAGGGAAGCCTGTAGGGCTCTGACCTTGCAGAATGATATTTCAGGTATCCTACCTTGGGGGCAATAAATAACAAGTTCCCCGTGCTTGAAGCTTCCCTACAGTCTGAGGGAGTAGTGTCCTCTGAAAGTAGTTTCCCTCCTTCCTGGGCTGTGCTCCATGCAAATGCCCCAGTGTGAGGGGGAAGTTGACGGAAGTTTGACAAACTGCCACTCACTGTCCATGGATTGGTTCAGTTACGTTTTTGAGGTGAGAGTGGAGCAGGAGGGCTGTATGGCAGGTCCTCTGCTTGGGCTTTTACTCTACTGGAGAGCCCCAGTTCTTTGGGGAAAGGCAATCCTCAATATCACCCTGGTCAGGGGACCCTCATGCGCTAAGGCCTGAGCAGATCTTTGTGACCAGGCACCATGCCATCAGCACACATGGACAACTATGGGGACAGGCCAGCCTAGAAGATCTCCATTAGTGCTGGTGCCTGCATCTGCTGCCTCATGTACCCTAAACCATTCAACTGCCTCTTCCTAGTCAACCTCCTCCTGAGCTGAAGTAATGGCAGCCTGATCCATTCTGTTACTGTTTTCTTTGGCCTGTGCAGTAGTGTGTGTGTGTGTGTGTGTGTATGCAAATGTGTGATGTTAAATTTGTTATCAATATTTAAAGATTGTGAAATTTTATATAAAAATATGAGTTTTGGATTCGCAGGGGAAAAAAGGACAATCTGGCATCACAGGGATTGATGTCCTCATAGCAGCCCTCAACACTGGAACTGACTATTAGCTATCCCTCTACCCTGGCCTTACTCTTACCCTGGCCTCCTCAAGACCACTTTACTCTCCTTTTATCCATTTGCATTATCCATCCAGTCTCTGAAGACATTTGAGGCTGTGTCTCCTGCTTAATTTAAGCCTCCCAAACCCAGAGGATCTTTTAACCCTGTCCCCTAAAAAATCAAGACTACTTGACCTACATTTAGTTTTTGAAGAAAATAGTATTCAAATTATTTTGAGTTTTTTATCCGTTAAGAAAGGATATCCACAGTGAGAGTCGTATCCTAAACACAAGCATGGCTTCAATATTACAAATATATAAATTAATGAAATTCACTGCACTGATGGATGAGAAAGAAAAATACATCAGCTCTATACATGTGGACAAATTTGATAAAATTCAATATATGTTTCCAATAAAAGAACTTTAATAAAATAGAAATAAATTGATACCCTATTAACTTTTAAAAATATATTTCAACACGATAGCAGGCATGATGTTTAATGAGATACACTAGAAGCATTCTCATTAAAGCAAGGAAGAAGGCATTGATGTTCTTTACGTTAATTGTATTGTATCCATCCTTTTCTCCTTCCATTTAGTGATAGAAAGCCCACCGGGGGTCACATGGTTGCTCAGCTAGAGTCTGTGTTTTGTAGCTTAATTGCTAGATGTGGCTGTGACCATGTAACTTAGAGTTGTCCAATGAGTTGTAAGCAGAAGTGATGTATCTAATTTCCAGGTAACCTCCTTGAAGACAAAATTGTTTATTCTGAACTTGCTTTTCTCCTCCTGTTAGTGGGGAAATGTTGGCAAATATAGCAGTCGCCTTTGAAAACAGAGAGAGAAACAACATTTGAGACTAGTCCAGTTTTGGGTCACTCACTTTTGGATTTCTACATCATAGAAAATAAACTTCTATCTTATTTAAACCACTGAATTTTTGCATCTTTCCTTTATAGTAGTTTAGCCTCTATCTTTGCTAATATAGCCTTTATTGTTTAACATTGTTCAGGAGGTACTACCTAAAATAATCAGATAAGAAAAATAGTATGAAATTACAAGCAAGTAAAACTGTCTTGTCAAAATTTATCTTAAATTATAACTGTATACATGGGAAACCCAAGAGAATGCATTGAATGATTAGTACAAATAAGACAATTTAATAAATTGCCTTTTGATCATATAAAATTACCAATAACCTTTCTGTTTACAAACAACAACTAGTTAACAAAATATAACGAAAGTTTCTATTTACCTGGAGTAAAGTTAAAAAGAAATAGAAACATGTATGTATGCATGTATATACTTATATATATATAGTGTAACCAATGAAATCTAACAGTGATTCTAATAGTGAATGGTAAATCTAACAATGATTTGATGTCTATCATCCACTTAAAGATATATATGAAAAATCTCATCTCAGACAATTTGCATCATTTCTTTTTCTGTCTTTAAACATAGTTTTTTGGGACGTCTGGGTGGCTCAGTGGGTTAAGCGTCTGCCTTTGGCTCAGGTCATGGTCCCAGGGTCCTGGGATCGAGCCCTGCATCAGGCTCCCTGCTCGGCTGGGAGCCTGCTTCTCCCTCTCCCTCTGCCCCTTCCTGCTTGTGATCTCTCTGTCTCTCTCTCTTTCTGCGTCAAATAAATAACATTTTAAAAAAAATAAAAAATAAACATAGATTTTCATTCTACTTTTATAAACTTTTATCTGTGTATATATAACTTGACTGTTTATTGATTACTTGTTATATTTCTACACTATAAAATTATGTATGTAAATTGAAACTATTTAAAAATATTTCCTATAAACATAAGATTCTAATTATTGGAAAAATATTAGAAATACATTTTGAGAAAATATTATTGAAAAAGTAACTGGAAAATTTTGGAAATCTATCTCTCCATGAGATCTAGCTTTTTTTCCCAAATAGTTTCTGTATATAATAGATGAATATTACATATTGTTGGAATGATTCAGCATTTATTAGCAGTTTGATTCCAATATTTCTTGTTCATAGATAAAAGCAATGATAGATCTTGCTAAAATAAGGAAATGTATATGAGAATGGAAGTTTTATTATAAGAATGTCATTCAATTCTTCAAGTGAATTCTGAACTATGTATGATTCAGTTAGTTCCTCTTTCAGTTGTATCAAAGGTGGAGTATAAACCCCTTGATTCACAAAGTTATTAAAATTACCATTTTCTCAACACTTACATCAATGTTACAAATTGTCCTTTTATCAACTTTAGGATATTTTTATAGCTCGGGCAAGCACCATACTAAAAATCCCAGATGAGTGAGAAGTGGATATCTTTCTTTTGAAAAAGTGTGTGTGGAAAACCTTTTATAAAAGGAGGCTCCTTGAATCTCAGACAAGTCAGTTGGAAAGAGGAGGCAACAGATAGGCATCAGAAATGGACTCCCATAAAACCATCCTTGCACAGACATTCCTTGGAAAGGCTTCAGACACTCAGGACTACATCTAGGTTAGTTTGAAGATGCTTCTTTTAAATCAAATATTTTATTTATACCTTTTCACCCCGAATGCCAGAAGTTACAAAGTGTATCTCGGAAATGTCTAAAGAAAGCTTATTTTAGGTATTATTTTCAGGAAAGCTCTCAGTGTTGATTTTCACTTGCATTATGTTTTTGTTCTGTGCTGTTATTTTTCTTTTTGCCAGTTGGTATTTCCTTTATATTACCACAGTTATTTCTTTCAGAGTTGCCTTTACTTTTTACTCATATAATAGTACACGGAAGGCTGACAGATGAAGCAATAAATACTATTTCCTAACTAACTATCTCCGAGCAGGAGTACAGCTATGATATCAGCACTTGGAAGGGACGGGCCCCTTAATCAGAAAGGCAGCATGACCTTGCCTGTTTTATGACGGTAATGTCTCAGAGGCATCATGTTTCCTTTTCAGAGCTTTAACATCTAGACTCTGAGTTTCAAAATTGAAATTTGACTTTTTTTAATCTTAAAACCTAAAAAGCATCACATGGTATTGTTTAGTATGCCGTGAATGTGTGTGTGTGTGTGTGCGTGTGTGTGTGTGTGTAGATGGACAGAGGGGGACTTCTTTTCACAATACCAACATGACTGTATTGTTGGTTGAACGTTGAGTTCTATATGTGTGGAAAGAAATTATGATACTTTTTGCTGAAAGATAAATAAGGAGAAAGTAAAATTTTAAGTAAAGCTAGAAATAAATATATTTTTGTATACTTGTCATCATGAAAAACCCAGGGATTCAGGATGTGGATAATAACTTATAAAGAGAGAAGTAGAATAAGGAAATGGATTCTTTGTCTTCCTAATATTACAAGAGAAATAAGATAAAAAAAACCAAAGTATTTACTCTTTTCTGAAGTACTTCTGCATTTGAAAATAGCCAGATTTATTTTCTATCCAGTAGAGAGCAGCCAAAGCCCATGATGCTCTTGTAAAATCCATGCCTCAGAATTCCAGGCACAGGACTGTTCACACTGTATCATTTCATCCAGGTCCTAGCTGAGTAAGGGCCTTCTAGAACACTGGCCTTGTTTCCCGTATACCACATTCCTTCTCACACTTGCCCTTTGTATTAAATAAAACACATATATCAATTTATGTGGAAGTTTATTTGCACACATATGAAGACATATGTTGAGCTTGTGGCCAGTTGCTTTAAACAACCTATAGGAGCACAAACTATGGTGTTAGAATTTGTTAACATAGGGACAAAGTCATAGCATGAGAGTTGGGTAAGCTTAGAATTCCTGGAAAGAATACCCTAACCCAAGTGCCACCAGACAGCCAAGCCTTGTAGTTACCAGCAGCTAGAGTGTGACATCTTCATGGCAATATTAGTGACAGAGAGAGATCTTTGACTGGCAGACAAGCCAAGGAAAAATGAAACTAAGAAGCATAAAGAGAAGATCAGGTGGTGTGATGGAATATGCATGTGAGGCTCAACCAACTTCATCTTTGCTTTCACCATTTCTGCTTTTCAGAAAAAGCATGTTCCCAGAAGATAGCTCTGAAGGAGGGCTACCAAGAGGCAGCACCTTGAAAATGCACGTGTTGTCCTATTCTCTGATTAGCCTCCCTGACAGAAGCCAATCTGTAACTGAGTAAGTGCACCTGGAGATGAACAATGAGGTGTAATAGGATAGTGGTAAAATGAAAAGTTTATATATATATATTTTTTGGGGGGGGAGGTGTATATATATTTGGGCCTTGAAAAACATGTTCATCTTTCCTCTTTATAAAATTAGTGTGCATTGAGGGTAGATTCATAGAGTGCATTAAAAGGCCTCTTCATTTACACATCAATGACACTATTGATCCCTCATCAGTAAGACATAGAATTTAAGGTGATTTTTTCCCCCCAGTAGTGATGTTGCTACAGATGGCTGCATCCTGTGATTTGGCCATCCTCACAACCAAAGTCATATACTTGAATTGGTAGATCAGAGTTAGGTATGTAATTTGTGGCCATGAAGCAGACTGGAACCAACTACCTCACATGCGGTGAGCTTGAATGTCAGCCTAATCAGCTAGACTTTTGCCAGCTGAACTAGTGTATCACAGGGACAATTGTTACAGATACTTTGTTACCACTGTTAACGAAGTCTTGTACTTTTATTTAAAATGTATGCATTCATTGAAGTTCAAACTTTTGTTGCTGAGGAATTAAAAATATATTTGAATTTGGCAGTAGTATTTTTCTTAAAGTATCAAGATTCCTCAACAAATGAAATAAGAACTAGCATTTTTTTAAAGATTTTATCTATTTATTTGAGAGAGAGAGAGCATGAGCAGGGGGAGGAGAAGAGGCAGAGGGAGAAGCAGGCTCCCCGCTGAGTAGGGAGCCCAATGTGGGGCTCGATCCCAGCACCCTGGGATCATAACTGAGCCGAAGGCAGATGCTTAACCGACTGAGCCACCCAGGCGTACCAGAACTAGTTTTTGAGCAAGTCTGCAGATACCTTTTTCCATCTATTATGAAATTTAATAAAAGTTTTATTTTCTTGGGTAGTGTTTATTAATTAAAAACAATGACTTTTTAAAAATATAATTTATTCATACTCTAAGTGGATTAGTAACCAGGTTAATTTTATTTTAGAAACAATACAGGGAGACATGTCATCATGCCTCCTTGTGTCTACACTTGAATGAGACCATGCAGTGTAGTGACAAGAACTAGGAATTCAGAGTTAGGAGATCTGGCAGTCCCGTAACCTAAAGACCTTTATGCTCTCAACACGCCATACTTTCCTCTGCACAAATAAGAACCACAGTCAGTACATATATAAATAGGGCAGATTGGGTCCTAAGTATCAGTGACACAAGAGATGGGTTTGGTGAGGTTTAAGTCCCTGTCACCTCCATAATTTACATCAGCCCTTCAACCTACTCTTTGATTTGGATAAAGGATATTTTGCCCTGCCTTGTTCAAAATATTATATACATGAAGCCTCAGAACAAGTCCTGTAGCCCCCCTTTCCAATCAGATATTGCCCTAAGCCATTTCCACAGAGAAATAATTCTGAGGGTAAAGGCGATGATAGAGTTCAATAGGAAGGCCATATTCCAAACCTCAATCAGAGTTTGAAATTGAGCTTTGGGGCCATCAGCCCATCTCAGGAGAGGATGAATGCACAGTTTTGATGTGAGATGACATGGATCTAGGCCAGGCGGGGGCTCTGAGACAGAGATAAGGACTAGAGCCAAAAGACATTTCCAAGAGAAAGGCTGGGTAGGTTTGGTACATGGGAGAACACATGGCACAGAGAGAGGAAAACACAAAGGTGATTGCACGTTTTGGGGTCTATGAAAGGGATCATTTTGTGGAGAAGAGAGATGAATCCTACTCTAGACACGTGGAAGACTGCGTGGTCCTAAGGTATCTTAGACAAAATGTTCTTTAGATTTCTTTAGACATGGGTTGAAATGCAATGCTGGTCAGATTATAATTGGAGACATAGATTTAAGTGTAGATGAGAAATAATTTCGCTCATCCTTATCTTTTCTTTTACTAACATACTTATAATTCTCTTTGTTCCTTTGACAATAGTAGGAGTTGGGATTTTTGCCATTACTTTTAGTTTAATCTCTTGCGGTATTTAACAATGTTCTCTGGACATGAGGCCTCCTACACCTGACCATGCATATGTCTACAGATGATTCAGGAAGCATGTTTCCAACCTTTTTAGGTAGGCTGTGCTGTTTTTTCTGCCCCTAGAAGTTCTTGCAAAGCTTCATGGTAGGCCTGGCTGGTATTGGAAATCTGATGAGAATAAAATCCAAGAAAAACCTAAACAAATCTCTTTTACACATTGTATAGACACAGGAACCAGATAAACACAATAATTTTAAAGATTTTTTAACAGTTTATGCTACCATCTAGATGTAATTATCTCTGATCTCTGGGAGCCTAAATTTTGCATTTAAATGGTATGAATAGTTTATTCTTTCCAGCAGATATTTGATGAGTTCTACTATGTTCTAGGCAGATTTCTAGGAGCTAGGGAAATAGTGTAGAATAAGATGAATAATACACTAATTTACATACCAGGGGAGTAGAGAGCAAAATACATGTGAACCAATAAATGGAAGGTGATTTTATTTATTTTTTTTTAAGATTTATTTATTTATTTTAGAGGGAGAGAGAGCAGGAGAGAGAGACGGAGGGAGAGAGAATCTCAAGTAGACTGTGATTTACACAGTCAAGCAGCACAGCATGGAGCTGGATGCGGGGTTCAATCTCACAACCCTGAGATCATGACCTGAGCCAAAGCCAAGAATTGGATGCTCAGCTGACTGTACCACCCAGGTGCCCCTGGAGGGTGACATTAGCTAGATTTAAGGTTATGAAGAATAAAAAATGGGGTATTGTAATGGAGAGTTTAAGGATCTTGGGTTTAATTTAAAATGGGTAGTCAATAAGGAGGTGATTTTTGCATTTGGAGCTGAAAGATAAGACTATATTAGTAGTGTGAGGACATGGGGTTGGCATTCCAGGGAGAGTGAAGAGTAAGTGCAGACTCCAAGGTGGAGACAAAGTTGGTTGTTCAAGGAACGTAAAGTAGGACAATGTGGCTGAGGTGGTTGGAGAAGAAGAGAGGCAGAAGTATGGTTGGAGAGGTAGTCAGAGACAGTTAGGTATGCCTGTGGGCCATGGCAGATGATATAGATTTTATTCCTAGTGCAGTGGGAATTTATGCAGAAGAGTGAGATGTAGCAATTCTAATTAATCATTCTTTTTGTAATAATATTGTTTTTCAGTATGTGTGCATCTACCTTTTTATTTTAATAAAAAGTTTAAAAAGTTTCTGTGTTCTCAAATTTTTATATTAGAATATTCCAACATCAGGGTAGAAACATACATATTCTAGTTGGAATGTAATTGATCCAGTGTCTTCACAGACAATATAAGCTTGTACTTAATTACATATTTTGTTAACCCAATGACACTATGTGGGAGAAGTTAATCTCTGCTAGATAGTTCATCTAGTACCATAAAGACAGAGATAGGTCAAGATAAAAACATGTTTTCATTAAATAGTGTATTGTTGACTAATCTCTCTGAAAAATCCAAAGCCGTGGGTGTTTTTAAAACTACAATCTTAACCTGAATGAGAATTAAAATGTTTTTCTAAAGCTGGCTCTTGAAATGTTGGGAAAACATCATTTCTATATTTTTATTGAATTTCACTTCATTCAGATGAACTCTAATATGGTTTCTACAAATGATTGACAACATCTTCCCCTTGGAAAAGCAACAACAAAAACACTACTTTGCCTTTAGCAATTTTTTTCTTAAACCTTTGCGTTGGGTTGGAGCTGACATCTTACTATTTAAATTTGGGGAAGTATGCTTTCTATTTGAAAACAAAGTGTGCTGAGATTATATTCTCTTTTTTGAAGTCTAGAGAGGATTTTATGTGTCCTTGACTGTGTTGTGGGTATGTGGGGTTCCTGGACCTTGAAGAATCTGCCTGGTAGTCTCCCCTGAGTGGGAAGAGTATTCTTGTGGGCCATCCTCTGACCTTCTTCACCTTGGACAGGGAAATAAGATGGGACTAGATGGGGCTTAGATCCTTGGGGGTGCATTTATGGCAAGTTCTTTGCTTGGATTCTTAAGAACCTAGAGGTGAAAGGATAAAGAGAAGAAAATGACTATTTATTCTCTATTTCCAGTAATGAGCTCAGAACAGCTTGAATGGAACCCTAAAGGTAAAGAGTTTAGTCAGACCAGTTAGACAAGAATTGTATCATACATAATGTCTCCTGAGATTCATCTGCTAAGTTTGAAGTTTTGTTCCATACATATGTGTATTCAGTTTTCCTCATTCTCAGGAGTTACATTCTATAAAATTGCTGTGGACACTGATTTAGTGAATACTAAACCATTGCTCCTGGGCAAAATTCAGGGTTAGGTTCCCATGGGCTTCTGGTTACATTTTTGTCAACTGATCAATAGATAACCTTGTTTTATGTGTCTTTATATCTAGATATCTTATTTAATATATATTATTCGTTCATTAACATTGAATTCAGAGCCAACAGCATGAGGTTTTCCCAACACATATACATTTTCTCCATAAGGTACATCCCAGGCTTTCTGCATTTGAGAACACTAGATAGCACTTCTGCACTACTCTTGGAGTCCATTTTTTAAAAAGATTTTATTTATTTATTTGAGAGAGTGCGAGATGGGCAGAGGGAGAGGGAGGGAATCTCAAGCAGACTGCCTGCTGAGCAGGGAGCTTGATCTCACAGACCTGAAATCATGACCTGAGCTGAAATCAAGAGTCAGATGCCTAACCCACTGAGCCACCCAGGCGCCCCCTGGTGTCCATTTTAAACAGCGAAATTCCTATGTAACAGCACAAAAGGATGAAAAACATGGCACTAAATAGACTGTGACAAGGACACCTGTTTATAGTATGAGAGCTAAAACAAGAAGTTAACATATACATATTGACATTTTATTTTTTCTAGTCAAAATGAGAAGTGTCAGTCAGTGAAAGAATACCTAGAAAGTGTCAGTTCCCTTCCGTAAATCACAAAGCATGCTAGTGTGTTTTTTTCTCATAATGTGGGAGAGAAATTCAGAAATATCTCAAATAGATTTTTCCAGCAAGAAATGAGAGTATATTGATTTATGAGTCTCCATCTACAACTATTGAGGATATAATGCAACTGAAGACAACTTGCTTTTTAACGTGGTGGTTATTTTTTCTCTTAAAATACAAATATGATTTCATCCTCTATAAATCAATAAAAGTGTGGGTTGGTTATTTTTTTAAGCTTTGTAAAAAGGAAATTGCATCATAATAGCAGTCTTCAGATACATAAGAACTACTGTCAGCATTTAAACCACAAATGGGATATCAAGACCTTAAATTATTGTTTTCAGGTCATTGTAAAGTTATGAAAAAAATTTGAGATGATCCAAACCAAAAATATACAAATAAATCCAGAAAACTACATATTCAATTGTTTTTATCTGGGCAGTATATGGAAACATTCTTAGGAAGAAATAAGTTGGTGGAAACATGTAATTTTGACTTGTAAATTTGCAAATTATAGCCAACAAAGAACACAAATTAAACCCAACAAAGGACATAATAGCAAAACATAATTCATTTTTTGGAAAAGACCAGCACTTTGTAGGATTACTTGAATAGGAAGCTGGCATCTAAAGCATGGTGTAATGAAAGGAACATTGATTGACTGATAGGAGAGGGGGATTCCAGGCCCAATTCCGCTACTGATTAGTGGCATGTACTTGGGCCTAGCATTTAGCTCCTCAGGTTTTGGCTTTCTAGCCATCAAATGTGGAGTCTGGACTACACGATCTCTAATATCTCAGCTCTAAAATTTTTTGAGGCTCCAGTACAAAACACCTATAGTAGACATTTGTTTATTTGAATTCCAGAACATTGCTCAATAATTCATAATGAATAAAATAAAGTAATAGAATAATTCTAAAAACAAAAACCAAAAAGCTCTGACTATGGCAGTTATATAATTTGTCATAAAACCAGAGCATTTTTTAAAAAAAATTTTATTTATTTATTTGACAGAGAGAAACACACAGTGAGAGAGGGAACACAAGCATGGGGAGTGGGAGAGGGAGAAGCAGGTTTCCCACTGAGCAGGGAGCCCAACGCGGGGCTGGATCCCAGGACCCTGGGATCATGACCTGAGCCGAAGGCAGACGCTTAACGACTGAGCCACCCAGGGGCCCCAAAACCAGAGCATTTTTGAGAGGGATGCTAAAATAATTAAAAATATATTAGTTTTTGAGATTGACTAACTACATATATATGTATTCATCTACTATCAAATTGTTATTATATTAGTTGATCTGTCTTTTTCAAAAACTATGTTAAGAATCAATATTCTTTAAAAAAATAACAGTACATAAAAGCAATGTAAAACAATTCTTCATATTGCTTATTTTAATTTTAAAAATAGTATACGTAGAATAAGCTATTCCTATGCCATATTCAAAATCAGTTTTATTTTAATCCATATCTATCTATCTCTAATACCATGCCACTGGTATTTTTCCAGTGAGTGTATTTGCTATTGCAATACTTTTTTTCATGACATTGCATGAAATCTTGCTTGAAGTTAACATTTTGTAGTTAATAAACCTGAAAAGTTTTTTACATTAGACTTTTCTCTGCATAACCTTCTTAATTAAGAAAATATTTTCTCTATAGATGCTAAGTTACCTGGAAAGTTTCACAGCAAATTCTTGTTAAATACAGAATATCCTCATTTCTATTTTTTAATTGAAATGTGTAAATATTTCAACCCAAATATTTTCACAGATACTGGTTTTTATTTTAAACTTTAATTTCCTAAATAAATATTTTTAAATAAAAATAATCAAAATGCATGTTTCTGTTTGTAATCCTTTTGATTTTCTGCCAAATTTAGATGCTGCAAAATCATAAGAATATACATATATCCAGTAAAATATAGGAACTATATCAAAAGATTTCTCCCATATAAAGATATTCCAAAGAGAAATTATAAAATTTCAAAGTAAATTTTGTGCACTTTTGAGTTGTCATCATTTACTTGATTCAGTTCCTCCTGTGCTTTTATAAGGAGAAATTTTGATATCTTCCCAATTACAATTTTCAATAAGTGCAATTGGTTTTCAATAAGTGCAATTGATTAAAATCTTTAAATTCTATTTGTTTTGGTATTCCATCTGTTGAATGATTTGATGAAAGATTTCTAAGTAATTTTGAACACAGTGCAATAGAAATATAAAGGACTCATTTGCAAAATGTTTCATTTGAATTGTAGAATACATCGGTTTATAGAATAATTCTTCAAAGTTCCAAACATTTTTAAATCTAACATCAGTTAGTAACAACAGTGGGTAACAGAAAGTAAAAGTGCTTTTTACCAGGCTGAAGAAAAAAAATTTTTTTGTATTCAATATCTGCTTTGTAACAAAATTTTGAGGTACAATTACTCTGTGAAATATATAAAAATGAATAAATTTTTATATATATTTTATATAAAATTTTATATATATAAAATATAAAATTATATATATATATTTATATAAATTTTAACAACTACAGTTTGTGTTTAGACTGACAGAATCTTGTTTGAGGACAATTGTGAATTATGACTGTGTTGCAATCAATCCTAGGTGTATTTCTGTGTTTTTGTTTTTTAGTAAGAGAATATTTTTTATGCCATTATGCTCTGCTCCAACAAAATTAATATTTGTATTACCACAAAACCCAAATAATTTATCTTCTGTGTTAATCTTTTTAAATTAATTTACAACAGCTTTTTTTTTTTTTAAAGATTTTATTTATTTGACAGAGAGAGACACAGCGAGAGAGGGAACACAAGCAGGGGGAGTGGGAGAGGGAGAAGAAGGCTTCCCGCGGAGCAGGGAGCCCGACGTGGGACTCGATCCCAGGACCCTGGGATCAGGACCGGAGCCGAAGGCAGACGCTTAACGACTGAGCCACCCAGGTGCCCCTACAACAGCTTTTATAATAATAATATCAGAGAGTTTACCTTTAATAGAATGAATTTTCAAGTACATTGCTTTTACTCCATGATGACACTAATCATTTTTTAAACCTCTCATGATTTATCTATCTGTAAAGGTTTTCCCTCTGCTAATGGAACTGACACATTAACAGCAGTTGTTTCAATTTTCTGTATGTTAAAAACAAATGAATAAACTTGGAATCTAAAATGCAAAAATGAACATAATTAATTTAGAAGAATAATCCATTTGATCTGAAGGAACAGGTCATGCTTCTAGAGAAATGGATAAACATATCTTCTACAACCACACATACTATCTTTTGGCACAGTTATTAAAACAACAACAACAACTAACATTTAAAAAGATAACCATGGGGCACCTGGGTGGTTCAGTCTGCCTTCAGCTCAGGTCATGATCCCAGGGTCCTGGGATCGAGCCCTGCATCGGGCTCCCTGCTCAGCGGGAAGCCTGATTCTCCCTCTCTCCCCCTGCTTGTGGGTTCTCTCTCTCCCTCAAATAAATAAATAAAATCTTAAAAATAAAATAAAAAGATAACAATGCTCCTTCAGTGTATTTGTATCTTTTGGTTTGCTGAAGTAATATTGTCATGGCCTTTATGGTGGATAGTGACAAAGAACATCTTACGTATGGTACACATTTATTATAAACTTTCTTGAGAAATAGTAGCTCTATATTTTTTTATTTCAAATGTACCTTCCTTTTGCTGACCTCACTGTTGTAGAAGAAGTTTATTAAAAAGTCATAAACAAAGCATTACAGCCAAATAAATAGTTTCAGATTGCATCATACAATAAATGACCACGAAGCAGCAATTGCATTCAGATTATTCTGTCTGTGTCCCATGGCCGGGCTTAGCCTTGATTTCTTGCATATGTTGTTTGTATCTCCACCCTCTGATGACGCTAAATATTTTCCACTGACCTCACCTACTGGTGGCCTAAGGAACTGATGCATCTTGAAGGCGGAAGTGCCAACCATGGCATGGCACACCTGGCTGGCATGCGACTTCAGAGTTCCTCCCGTGCTTATGAAGATGAGGCGTGACTAGTCCATGGCCTTTCCTGCGCACCATTCGAAAATTTCATCGGTAAGCACCCTGTAAGATGTCCTGGAAAAGTGACCTATTCATTCCTCACATCAGGAAATAGTTGAAAAAAGAAAGATGGTAGATTCTGGCAGTGTTTAAGATCTCTGTGGGCTTCACGTGTGTCTGACACACAACTAGTTAAGGGATACCTTGGCGGAAGTTAGAACTACCAGGTGGAATACCATCTAACCCAATCAAGCTAATTTTAATGTAAATTGTTAATAGTCTTACCTGGTTAAAACAAACCAACCAACCTGGGACAAATACTTAATCAGGAAAACTGACATACATGGGTACCCTAAAAATAACTAAATTTACTGGAATTTCACCTTACTGGAAGTTTGGAAACTATAGCAGTTCTTTTTTTTTTTTTTTAAGATTTTATTTCTTTATTTGAGAGAGAGGGAGAGCACGCAGCAGAGGGAGAGGGAGAAGCAGACTCCCCGCTGAGCAGGGAGCTCCATGCAGGACTCGATCCCAGGACTCCAGGATCATGACCTGAGCCGAAGGCTACGTTTTTGTGTTATTCTTGAGCTTAGTCATAGGCAGAACAAAAACAAACTAGAGTTGTGTTCTTATAAGACTGTGGTAAGAATTGTATATGTAGGAAATTAGTAGTTTCTTACGCTTATCAGGGTTTAAATAAATGTTATTTTTAAACCTTTCTACCGTGCTGACTAGTTTTCTTACGTTGTTAGCAATTGATTCCCTTATCTAAGTCATATTAGAGTATCATATCCTAATATAACACCTTATACTCAGCACAACAGGCAAGACCAAATTAACTAAACACAGACCTTGTCTTCAAGAACTTTACATTCTGGAAGGAGAGATAAAACGCATGTTTTATACTTACACATGAAGACACATACTTGCGTACTTGACTCATTGATTTTTTTAATCACTACTCATGTCATCATTCTTGCTGTTGGCTACCTCCTTTATGGTCTACCTGGTATCTTGGTTGTTCCACACTTGACTTCCTTCACTCCAGCCACCAACCACACCAGTCACCCATTCCTACAGTCTTTCCTGTAACTCTGAATCAATAATGACTATGTAAACTCCAAACTCTCAGTTTCAGGAATCTGAGTCTCCAACCACTACCTCCTCTGCATCCGGCTCACTTATTCCAGTAACTCCTACACCCACAATTTCTCACCCCTCCAGGAACTCGCCCCCTTGACTCTCTTTTTCACTGCATAGCATCCTTTTTATAGTTCAATTTCTTCCTTACATTGAAGTCCTTGGTTCCATGTCCATCACTGTAATCACTTTCTCATAAATGGTCTTTCTCCTGTCTTACTTTACTATATTCACCCAGAAAAGCACCAGCCCTGGACCCAACTCGCTGGAGAAAATAACTCGTCTCAGTGGTCTCACATGAAATTAATAACCTCAAATCCCAGACAGTCTCCAACACTGGCTAGCAGTCCTTCATTCTTCTACTAAATTTCTGTTCCCACACTCTAAGAAAGTTATTCTACACTTTCTCTTCTTCACACTGCTCCCAACTCTAACATTTGACCTTAGACCATATGTCTTAGATCACTGCTAAGTTGTAAACACTGATAAGACCCACCTCATCTCATCACCATATCTTCAGACTAACCTGCATTAATTCTGAGATACTTGATTCACCTCCTGTTAGGATAAGAAAAGCCTGTGATCCTACCTGAGGACAAACACTCTACTTTTGGCTACTCAAGAATTTGGCTCATGCAATTATCGTTTCTTGTTCTCTTTTTCAACTTCAATTGCTCCCTATATTGGATGGTTTCTAAAGACATATAAAAATGCCTTAATATCTATTATGTAAAAAAAACCACTTATTTCAAATTCTTCTATCATCCCATATCTCTATACTTCATAGGAAAAAAAACTTCTCAAAAAGATTGTGCTTTTGTTCCCCTTTCTTGCCTTTCTATTCTTTATTTTATTCCAACCAGGCTTTCTTCACCAATCCACAAAAATACCCACTTTTAGGGTAATGAGATATTCTGAGATATTCTGTCTTGGCTGACACCACAGTCTCCTGGGTTCCTTTCTACTCCACTGACTGCTCCTCTTCATTCTCCTGGGCTGGTTCCTTGCTCTGGGCCAGACATCAAATGCAGAAGTTAACTTGCAGCTCAATTCTGAGCCCTCTTCCTTTTTTTTTTTTTTTTTTTTTTTGTAGCACAGTGGGAGTTTCTGACCTTGCATCAGACTTACCTGGAACATTTGTTAAAACACAGAGTCATGGGGCCCACTCTCAGAGTTTCTGATTTGATAGATCCAGATGGGGCCCAGGAATTTGCATTTATAACAAATTTCCAGGTAATAAAGGCTGATACTGCTGGTCAAGGGGCCACTCTTTGACAACCTCTGGCTTAGGGAACCAATTAAGCTGAATGCTTTGGAATTGGCCTAGCTTTCAATCATACTTCCACCTTTTATTATCTGTGCAACCCTGGGCAAATGATTTACTCTTTGTATTTCTCAGTATGTTTATTTGTAAAATAAAGACAGTACAAGTTGCTAGCTCAAGTGTTCTGAGAATTAAGTGATATAATCCTGTGATTACAATACTTTTCTGAAAACTGTTCTTCCTTCTTATACTTCCTTCTTACCTCTCTAAAATCTTTTTTCTGAAAGGTAGCAGGGCTGTGTTTTCAAAGATATATATTAGGCCAGAATCATACTCTCTCCCCCATCTTGTCATTCATGTGCACCCAGAATAAAATGTCTGGCCCCATTCCAGATCACAGTCTCCTTGCTTCATCATGCATCTACCATATTGGTCTTTTTTCTGCTCTAGGAAATGTTCCAGTTACCCCTTACTGCATAACAAACTTCTCCAAAATTTAGTGGCTTCGAACAACAGCCATCTTACCATTCCTCACAAGTGTATGGGTCAGGAATTCCAGTAGAGTTTGGCTGGATGATTCTTCTGCTGTCCATGGTATATTCAGTTGGCCACTGGCCTGGGAAGATCACAAATAGCCTCTCTCACATGTCTGGAGCCCAGAATGGGCAGCAGGAAGGCTGCACTCAGCAGGGCCTCTCTCCATCTACCTCTCCTTGTAGTCACCGGTCCTTCTCCCTATGTTTCTCTCCAGGAGGTTTATTAGAGGTTACATGTCTGCAAAAGGCTCTAAGAGACCAGGTGGAAGCTGCCTTCTCTCCAAGAAACTAGCCCAGAGCTGGCACAGCCTCACTTTTAACACACTCTTTGGTCAAAGCAATTGCAAGAATGTCCAGATGCAAGGGGAGGGAGAACAGCTGCCACATTGCAATGGAAAATTGTCTACGAATTTAATCCACCACAGGCACACTCCAAAATCATTTCTGAGTGCCTTTCATACTTGTTCCTTCCTTCAGGAATTGTGCCTCTGAATCTTTTCATGGCTGGCTTCTCACATCTCAGCTCAGCCATCACCTCCTCATTACAAGAAAGCTTTCTGACTGCCTTAATATGCTTCCTTCCACCATCATTATGTACTCCATCACCAGTTTTATTTTCTTATGAAATTACCTTATTTATGATCTTCTGCCTCCCACTGGAATGTCAACTGTGTAAGAGCAGAAACTTTGTCTTTCTTGTCAACACTATGGTTTAAAAGCCTAGAATGGTGCTTGACACATAGAATTTTCTCAACATATATTTTATGAATGAGTAAATTTATTATGACTACATAAGTCATTTATAGGTGTATAAAGAAAAATTTATAATTACTATACAAGTGGTTTTGTTATTATTATCTGCACTTAAGCTTTCTGAGAATAAGGAGTTTATGTATGTATGTAAAAGACTTATTTTTTCCTCTAAATGGATTCCCTTTGGGTTATGGATGAAACTGACCTATCAGGTGAGAAGATGATATTTTCACAGTTAATGTAATGGTATTTTTTCTCTATTACATTTTTGGAATACATTGATTTGAATGACACTCACTAGAATTACTTTTTGCATGGGGGAATAAGGATCTTTGGGGAAATTATGCAGATTTTTACTCTCTTTCCAAAAATAATGTCATAAATTTCAAACCAAGTTAAAATTAACACCCATACTTATTAGGTTTTTAAATTTCTTCTAGCTCTGTTAAAGAAAAACTTATTAGTTTCAGTAAGGAAATTGAGTCTTTTGGTATAAAAAGTAATTCTTAAAAAGCAGTACAAATTGCATGAAAGAAATTGGAAAATGGTTTCATGTTTTTTCAACATAAACAAACATTTGATGATTTCTGAGAAAATAAATTTAGATTTTATAGAACCAGAAAATGTTTGGAAAATATTTTAAGTTGCTTAGCCTAACGTGCATCTGATTTCACCTTTCCTTTAGTACATCCAACATTTTCAAGATTTTCTAAACAACCAAGTAATAATTTGGGGAGCCAATTTATAAATAGGAATTTTTTTTTTTTAAGTTCAAGACCAAACATTGGTAAACAGAGAGAGAAATCATTTTTATGCTTTGTGATATAGCCAGAATCATGGCAAAATATTAACCTTTTGAAAGTTTTTCTAACGAAATAGATTCAAGGTTTTTCTTTTCTTTTTCCTTTTTGTGGTTCTTCTAGTGGATATTTCCTTTCTTTATTCAATCTTTACTCCATTATGAGTGCTTATACTCCCTTGCAAATGGGACTCTGATTTTGCACATAGTTGAGATATAGTACATATTATTTTAATTGAATAATTATAAAAGTCCCTACAAAGGTTTTAATGTGTTTATAGCAGGACTTATCTATATGCTTGTACAAATATTAGAAAATTTAATGTGAAAACATGTCTATTTTTTTACTTATCCCATTTTTCCATCTTTATTCCTTTAGATCAGGAAAAGATGAGGAAGTAAAAAGGTACAAAAGCAGGAAGAATGGGGACAAATCTAGAAGAAGGGAAGAGAAAAATTAAAGCTAAGTGGAATAAAATAAAAGCGGGTGACCAGCCTCGGTAGTAAAATGTGTATGTTAGATTTTTCAATTCCCTCTAAAGATTTACTCTTTTTTATATTCATGTTCATGGCTTCCTGTTTTGCAAATAAGGAAACTGAGGTAAGTATTCTTTAACCATCTCTTTGGTGCACTCATGTCAGGATTCTTGAGCCTGCTTGTCCTAAATACTGCAGTTTTAAGGCCCCCAGAAAGAGAATGACACTGCAGTCATTATGGACACATCATGTTAATTTTGATTTGATTAATTATTGAGAAATGGACTAGTGAGCTTATGTTGTGTATTTTTTTTTTTTAAAGATTTTATTTATTTATTTGATAGAGAGAGAGACAGCGAGAGAGGGAACACAAGCAGGGGGAGTGGGAGAGGGAGAAGCAGGCTTCCTGCTGAGCAGGGAGCCTGATGCGGGGCTTGATCCTAGGATTCTGGGATCATGACCCGAGCCGAAGGCAGACGCTTAACGACTGAGCCACCCAGGTGCCCCTATGTTGTGTATTTTATTCAGTCCTTTAGGAAAGGCAAAATAAGTATAATGGCCTCTGTCTCAAAGAATCGGTAGTCTAATGCAGAAGTCAAGATTAGTACATAGATGATGATAACGCAGGTTGTAGCTGCAGAGTAACTGGAAAATTAGTCCATGGATTTATCTGTTTAGTATACAGATAATCAATAATATTGAGGAAATAGAGGGAACTGGGAATGAAAGAAAGTCAATGGGATCCTAGAAAATTTGAGCTGAAAGATATTAACAGGCATATAACAAATTTTAATAGGATCTCAGAGTTGGAGGGGAGCTAAGTCATCTTAACCTTTCTTCTTCTTTTTTTTTTTTTAGATTTTATTTATTTATTTGAGAGAGAGAGAGCACGAGCAGGGGGAGGAGCAGAGGGAGAGGGAGAAATAGACTCCCTGCTGAGCAGGGAGCCCAACGCAGAGCTCGATCCAAGGCCCCCCCCGGGATCATGATGTGAGCTGAAGGCAGATGCTTGGACTGAGCCACCCAGGTGCCCCAACCTTTCTTCTTTCTGATCTCATAAAACATTCTCAGCAAATAGACAACTAGTTGTATGAGTCTTCTAGGACTGCCATAGACAGGATACCATAGACTGGGAGCCTTAAACAACAGAAATTTTTTTCTTTCAATTCTGGAGCACAGGAGTCTGCAATCAAGGTGTTGGCAGTTTTGTTTTGTTTTGTCAGGTTTCTCTCCATAATTTATGGATGGCTGTCTTCCTCCAGTGTCCTCACATGGTCTCCCCATTTGGCCTGTTTGTTTCCTAACCTCCTCTTTGTATAAGGACACCAGTCATATTGGATTAAGGCCCACCCTGATGACCTCATTTTACTTCTTTAGAGAAGTTATTTCCAAATACAGTCCCCTTCTGAAGTCCTGGGGATAAGAACTTCAACATATTAATTTGGGAGGATAAAATTCAGCCCACAGCATGAGTCTTAATTTCATTATGAAGAACTTGAACCCTTAGACATGTTTTTTTTTCTAAGTTTTTTTGTTTTTTTGTTTTTGAGCCCTCAACCTCCTCTGTGAAACTTCTACTCAATTATCCTGTGTCTCCCCCATTTCTGCAATGACCCAGATATCTGGGCCTGGCCCTGTGATAGACATGTATTATTGCCATGAGGAAATAGAATTTCATAGAACTGGGATAAAATTTAAAATAAAATTTAAAATAAAATTTATTTAGAATAAAATTTGTTGAGATAATAAGTAATTGTCTTAGAATTTAGATAAAAAATTTAGATCTGATTGCCAATTACAGGTTGTTGTGTGCATGTGTGTGTGTGTGTGTGTTTAAAGAACATGTCTAACTCTGTTTCTAGTAGGTTAGTCCTGCCCCACTCCACTGAATCTTCTAATGCTTTGAGTGATTTTCAGGTAAAGAAGGTCCTTGTTGTTTGGAACTTATCTCAGAATGTGCCTGAAGATGAGTAAGACAAAACAAAACACCCCATAGACTTTTCATGGTTCCCGTGGTTTTTCTTTTTCAGGTTTATGTTAGATGCTTCCAGTGGCATACTGAGTCAGCCTGGGTTGGAATCATAGGTACATTCACATTAATATATTTGGAACTTGGATCAACCGCTAGCTCTAATTTTGTAAGATAGTTAACTAGCTCAATATTTAACTAATATTCAGCAATTTAATTTTTTTGTACTCATTTTACTTTTCTCTTAAGCTCCTCAGTCCACTTTTCCTTTATAATTCTTATTTCTTTAGTAGTTAACATCGATCTTTAACTTCAGATTTAACATTAAATCCTCCTTTTCGGTGAGTCAGTGAGATAGACTTGAAACATGACACTAAACATTCCAAAAAAAGATGAACTTGTTAATATTCATTCAAGTACATGCTAGACATAAAATCAGATAATGAGAAATGAGAAAAACTTAATGAGAAAAACTACCTGGAGTTTTGGTTTTAAGTAAAGTAAAATTTACAGAAGAACATCCCTATAAATGCTTCACTATTGACTGAGGAGAAAATAGTGTGCTTTAAAGCATTTCTCATTTTCACTAGCTGTTGGCAAAATGCTTTTGCAATTAAAAAAGAAGTAAATGGACTCATTCTTCCATTTTTGATTTACTAACAATTTCTTTAACTATCAAAACTAAGAACGGTCACTTGTAGTGAAACCATAAAGTCCAAGTGAAAAGCATCACTACAATGATGCAATATTCTTATATCTTGGGAAAGGAGAAAGAGAACTAATATTTTTGAGCACATAATATGATCCATCCCTGAGCTAGGAAATTTTTAATACACCCATAATGTTAAATTTTTACAGCACTATTGTAATCAGTAGCCCATATTTCATTTAAAGAGATATCAAGTAATTTGCCTAAATCCTAGATGTAGCAAATGGCAAAGCTTCATTTTTAAAAAAATACATTTATTTATTATTTATTTATTTATCAGAGAGATCGAGAGAGCACAAGCAGGAGGAGCAGCAGGATAGAGAGAAGCAGACTCCCTGCTGAGCAGGGAGCCTGATGTTGGGCTCGATCCCAGGACCCTGGGATCATGACCTGAGCCGAAGGCAGACGCTTAACTGACTGAGCCACTCAGGACCTGAGCTTCATTTTTTGTAATTCCAAAGCCAGACCTCTTTCCATAAAACCAGTTGTTTCCAATTTACTTTATAAGCAATAAATCTTTTTATCATTCCTGTGCATGATTATTTAAACAATTATTTATCAGTAAAGGTAATGCCAAAAATTCAGTCAATTTCCATAAAAGATGAAGGACTAAGATGATTTTAATGCAGATATGATAATATTCTTGAGAGTTATTTCTATAATGTTCAGAAATTAAAGCAAAATTTATAATGGTATTGAAAAAACTGTTTAAGAATGATAATAAATCGGGGCGCCTGGGTGGCTCAGTTGGTTAAGCGACTGCCTTCAGCTCAGGTCATGATCCTGGAGTCCTGGGATCGAGTCCCGCATCGGGCTCCCTGCTCAGTAGGGAGTCTGCTTCTCCCTCTGACCCTCCTCCCTCTCATGCACTCTGTCTCTCAAATAAATAAATAAAATCTTAAAAAAAAAAAAGAATGATAATAAATCACAGAGGAAAAAAATTATCAATTTTTCTGTAATAGCATTTTGGAAACAAATTACTTTCTAAACTGAATGCAAATATCTCTCTTGGTGCAGAAAACTAACATACGTCATGCCTGTGACATTTGCTAAATCAAGAATTTAGTGCCAGATGATTTAAGCAAATGATAGTTTTCTGCAGTAGCTGGTGCATTTCTATAAGAAGTTCTTGAGCCACAGCTGGATTTCTTCTAGGTGCACAGCCAGTCAAGTCTTTGTCTTAGACTTTTTTGTCCTTGAAGTAATTGGTATGATGTAATTGAATTCTTAGCCAGGAACCAAGATTATTTCCAAAACAGAAGAAAGAATCATGATCTCTTTCAAATTAATTATAAATCAGGGCTATAATTTTCTTAGTGGACTAAGGATTGGGAGTTTTGAGTTTCCAGACTAGGTTTATAACCACCTTTACAAACAAAACTAAAGTATATCTTCTCTGTATCTCATTATTTTCATCCCTTTCAGAGCATATCTCTCTAAGGAATGTTTTCTGATCTTTGAAACAACTGAATGTAGAATTGCTGAAGGAGAGAGTAAGAGAGAGAGAGGAACAGATAGACAGAAAAAGAGAGAAAGAGGGGAAACAGGTGACTTTCAAGAGGAATTCATCTGTGGAAATAGAGATTTGTCTATTGAAACAGCGACTTGCACATTTCACTTAAATGTTATCTTTCTAAGAAATTACAGCATTTTGCTATTTTCAGCAGCTATCATCGGGATACTAAATAATTGGATAAGGTGGATTAAAATTCACGAAAAATATTTAGGGGGACAGGAGCCAGGAGCTGTAGAGGTCAGTTTTAGGAATAACACATCAGATTAGTCAATACTCTAGTATTCTTGAGCTCAACTTCACAGACAAGTCCGGGACAATACTTGTTCTTCTCACTCTTGATCACGCTGAACCTTGACCATGAAAGTTCCCTAAATCCAGCCTTGATAACAAAGGTGCAACCAGGGCTGGGAGGGCACTCTGTAAGCACGGAGGCCTGAAGCACTTGAAGCATCAGAACCAGGAATGACTTGAATCTAATGTTCGGGTATACACGACGCCACTGTAACACGAGCATTGCAAGAAATGGAAAAAGTGAGCTGTACGGCAGTATGTTGGATGGACTTTAAGCATGTGATGGATGAATGGAGAAGGGCAGCCAAGGAGCTGTTAAGTGAGGACCAAAGCCGGAGCCAGCATCTTGGCAGCCAACAAGCGAAAACATAGCAGATTTTGAAAAGATTAAACAAATCACAAATCACAAGGCAAGGATAACTCTGGAGATAAGGTTTCACTGATAACTGATGATAAGCTGGATCATCATGTTCTGAATGTCTAAATGAAGAGTAAGGAAGAGGATATCTGGAATTTGTTTAGTTATTATTTGTTTTTGTTGTTGTCATTGTGTAGTTAACAGATACCTGATCATTTCTCTGCTGAGAATCATTCTTCTCAGCTCGTCTGTCTACTGCATTAAAACAAACTTCTTAGCATGCAATGATAAGCCCTCCAAGATCTGGCTGGCTCTGACTGGGCCTCCTAGTGCTTTGCCTAACTACCACCCCATCCATTCTCCATCACCTCCTGCAACACTGACCTAGTCAGCCCTCACTGGAGAAGCCCTGTCCTGGTCCCCTTCGAGGCACCTCCATGCTCAGAGCATTTCCTTCGTTTCCCCTATCTTCCTCTGTCTCTTTCTGCTTAAACCCTAATCGCCATTTGAGACATCTTGCACGATATCTTCCTTGATTCTTCCCCGAAGAAATGACCTTACCTCCTTGGTTCGATTGTAAGACTGGCTTCTGATTCGAGCCCCTTAGACACGATCGCAGCCTGTTTCCAACTGGCAGGCTTCGTGCAGCTGTCAGTCTCTCCAAATGGGCTGTATTTGCTCAAGGCCTGACTTGCCTTGTTTATCTCTCCATCTCCAAAAGTATAATAAGCAGGTCTGTCTAATTTTTGCTTCAGTTGCCGTGGAAGGTTTTCGGTTCAGGAGAGGACAATTGAAACTGGAAGAACAGGAAGCTCTGGTTACTAGTATGGCTTTGAGTTGTCATGCCACAATGGCAACAGGTGGCAAAATGTTAAGCATGCATGGGGATATTCGTGTCTCCCAAATCTTCGAGCACAGAATGGGCCGTAGGCCTGTGTGTGTGATTTTAAAAAATTTAGCCTTTACCCTGACATTTTATAAAATAAAACTGGTGTTTAAAGTATAAATGAGCTGAGCAGCACAGCTTGACAGGATGTTATTCCTGTGCTCATTTCTACCCTGCCTCTGTGAAGGTGGGTAAGCTATTCACCTTTCTGAGATTGTTTCATCAGCTGTAGAATACAGGTATTACAGCTCCAAGCTACAGCTCAGCTTATAACTCCTTGATTCTATTATATTCCATATTAATATATATAGCAACTTAAGATATATATGTGTGTGTGTGTATATATATATATATATTCATCCCATTCTTTTGCATACTACATACACACTCATGTCTACCAGGCATCCTTGATTAGAGGGTTTGGTGAGGAAGAGTAATGGGCTGGCCATGTGGAGAATGACCACCAGACCCCTCCTAGTAGTCCTCAGGAGAATAAAGGTCATCTCTCAGCTTTAAGGCACTGACTGAAGGAGAAGTTCAGGGTGCCCAAGCTAGGTGAGGGAAAATGCTCCGGGCTGGTACCGAGGGAAGCCTCATTGGTTTTTGCCCTGGTCAGCTCAGGCCACCATAGCCCGAGGGCCTTAAACAACAGACATTTATTTCTCACAGTTCTGGAGGTCGGGAAGTCCACGATCAAGGTCTCTTTCTGGCTTGTAGGCGGCCCCTTTTTGTTGTGTCTTCACACAGTGGGGAGAAAGAGAGCACCGGTCTCTCTTCCTCTTCTTACAGGGGACTAACCCCATCAGGGGGCCCCACCCGTTTGACCTCATCTCAACTTCCTGACCTCCCAAATGCTCCATTTCCAAATGTCATCACATTGGGGGTTGGGGCTACAACGTGTGCATTTTGGGGGCACACAGACATTCAGTCCATAACATTCTATGATCGCTCCCTTGGGATAAGTCTGAGTCCCAGAGTCAGGGCCCTGTCATTAAGACAGGCGACGTCGTCGTCTGGTCACTGAGGAAGTTTCCTTCGAGGACGCAGGCACCGTGGAATGGCTGCATCTCTCGCAAAGACGCAGTAAGGCGGGCCGCAGCTGGGAGATTCTCCAGCGGGGCTAGTGCCCTGTAATGTCAAGAGGGGTTGCTCTGAGACAGTGACCAGTGAGTCACCAGGCCAGGTAGGAATGTGGAGGCCGACTGTAGTCTGAGACTTCCCCTTCCCTTTCTTCACTTTGAGCCCATGACTCAGCAAGAGAGAGGCTTAGCTCTCCCAACAAGTGTGTAGTCCCAGTGAGTAAAGCAAAAGGAAAACCAAACTTATTGGGGATTAACTTTTTAATCGACTTATTTGATTTTTCTCCCACTTAATTATTTATCTGTTCTGGTAGCACACAGGGACAATCAGTGATAAAACATCATAGGGATGATTTTAAGGCTGTTTCCATCTCTAGTTTTCTCTATCTTTTAAATACAGAGAGAATTCAATAGAAAAGAAGAGGAGCAAAAAGGGAACAGGGTGGCTTCTGGAGGCGTCATTAAAGTTACTCCAGCTGTGAAACTCGGTCTACACAAGTGGGGCAGGGTAACGAGGGAGGTGAGCGAACATCAGACTGTGCAGAAGAGAGGAGCCTTGAAGACACTACGTTAATGCCTGATAGTTTTTTACTTCTGTGCCCAGCAAACTGCGCTTATTTAAAGCATGAGGCTCAAAAGACTGTTTCTTTTTAAGGACATTCTGATTTATGTATTTGAAACATGAAAAGACCTCACTTTGGAGGACAAAAGCCTGAATAATACGCTATGCCTATTACTGTGTGTATGCTTCTAAAACTCTAGCAAATAAGCAACCTTCAAGGAGATCAAAGACCCGAGAAAAACTCACTTTCCCTCATAACAATGCAGTGTCACTCTATTTTCACTCTCGGTCCCGTGTTGGACTTGATTTGTGATTTTACCATTTGTGAAAGACTTCAGATGTCCTGCCTGGACACCCAGAGGTTGTTTCCGTTTTCTATAGTCAGCATGTGAAATGTTATTTAAAGCCCACATTTTGCTTTTAAGTATCACCAGTGGTTTCAGTGCTCCCGAGGTCAAATTTCAGCCCAACTTTTTGGACTTCCTGGCCTGGAAATCTTTTAGCAAGCTCTTGTTTCTGTTTCCATCCCCTGAAAAAGTTGTCTCTGCAGACAGAGGTTTGGCATCTGTATACCTCCCTCACATATTATATATTACTTATGGAATTTTGAAAGATCCAAAATGCCTCATTGATGGAAAACATGGGATGGGTGAGAATCCCTGGGTATCTGCATTGAAATGTTTAATCTCTCCCCATTCATGAAGTTAACATTTAGAAATCAAAACTTGAAATCAGACATTTGAAAGAGGTTTAGAACACAGTGGCTAGTGAATTCATTATGGAATCGGAACCAGTCTTGAAACCTGTGATACGGTGTATTGCAGAGTCTGTTTTCTTAATGAACAGATAGTTTCCCTCAATTTGTTATTGCTATCTTGGCTGTCTAGTAATAAAATATTGGATACGAAGCTCCCGGAGTCCAGATCTACTCATGGTTGAAAATGCACTTCCGTGTATGATAGATCCTACTCATTATATTTCATTGCATGGTTTGGGGACCTGAGGAGTAAGCCCTGAAAAAGTCAATCATGTCTATCATTGGAAATGGAAATCGTATTATAAATTATTTCAAAAGCTATATTCAATTTTTTTGTGGGTAAACTATTTTCTTTTTTTATTTTACTATGTTATGTTAGTCACCATATTCAATTTTCTAAATAAAAAGCATATTCTATTTCCATTTCCAGAGTTTAAGTTTTGTTATTTGAAATTTTATTCATCTTTGAATTTACTTGAGAAGAGAATTCAAAATTACTACGGGTCTTACTTTAGGGAAAAGAAAACAATGTACAGGTAAGTACCTCTATGTCTTTGTGTTTCATTCTTCTCCAGTAAAATACTAACTCAAGGGCATATTCAATATTTCTACTTAATAGAAATAGAATCTCTATCTCTCTGCCTGATTTACAATAACAGCATGGGTACTAAAATTACTGTAGAAGAAACTCCATTTTAAATTTTAATTTCTGTGAATGTGTATAAAATAATGCAGACTGATGAAGAATATACATGGTATTTTGTGAAAATTGTAAACTCCCTGTATCTGTATTTCATGCCTTTTTTTAGTTCTGTTATCTTATTTTACTTTTTTTTTCAATTACACTAGCTTAAATTTGTATGTTATTATAAACTTATTTTTGTTCAAGTCTGTGTTCTAAAATGTTTTATGTATTAACTGTTTTGTTTTTAATTCATTTACTTATTCAGTTATCTTTATACATTCCTTCTTCCCTTTCTTACATTTCGTGTTTTATATTTTAATTATCTAGTTCCTAACGCTTTTAATAAAACTTTAGAAACTAAGGCTATGAATTTGATTTTGAGAAAATCTTTGACTATACATTCTATTTTTTTATATAAAGGTTTTTTTTTAAATAATTGTTTCCTAAACATTGTATAATTGCAGCATCATTTCCTTTTTCCTCCAAAAACTCTCTGTGGATGATTTCCTTATTTTTGAAAATTTAATTTCCATGTGGTTAGTCCTTTATAGTCTACTTTATTTTTACCTACTTGTTTGTGTCCTGTTACTTTCTTTCTACTGATAATTGCTTATATTTATAAATCTTTTTGTTCAGTTTTAATGTTACATTATCCATAAAGGTTGATCACTGTTACAGACATATTTACAGACTTTATATAAAATAATATTTAAAAATCTCATCCTTGCTTATTTCCTTTGAATCCCACTTTACCAGCTATTCCCCTTGAAATTCTTACTTCATTTTACTGTGTATTTTCTACATATATATTTTCACAGTTTTTTACTTTTAAACGTTTCAAGTAATGTATTTAAGACATGTCTGTTTTAAAAAACATATGGTTAGATATTTTTTTTAACCCAATCTAAGAGTCCTTGTCTTTTGGTAGAGGAATTAGAACATTTGCATATAACATGGTAACAGATTCATCAGTTTTTACTTATATCAACTTATTAATGATTTTTATACTCTTTTTTTGTTCTCTGTGTTTTGTATCTTTTATTTTGTGAGATAAGTTTTTCATTCTTTCTCTTTTTTCCAATAGCAATGTAGAAGAAATTAATCTGTCTTGTTTCTTTTTTAGCCATATTGTTTGAAAACTGTATTGTAATAATCTTTCACTTATTATCTGGTTCTTATTTTATTATTGGAAAATGTTATCATCTGGTATTTCTCATCTGTTTTTTCCTATTCTTAGTCTAATCTCACATTTGAAAGAAAGGTTTTAATTAAATTATTGGGTTTTGGAATTTATGTCTTCTCTTACAATACTTTTTAAACATTTGAATAATTTTGTAATTACATTCACAGAAACTACTTACTTTTGATTCCATAATTAAGTGGTTTAAATGGTTAGTATATATATATATATATATAAATATTTTGAGAAATATTTTCAGCCTGGGTTCACAGGTATAGTATTTTCTTAGTCCTTATATATCTAGTAATGCTTACCGTTTTCTTCAGAAATTAAAAAAAAAACAGGATTTCTGGGTAAAAAAATAAGTCGTGGTTTATAAACATTTTCACTCAACACTGTAGTCATTCATCTGCCAATTTTTTAATATAATAAGAATAAATATGAAGCATCCTTTTTTTAAAAAAACTAACATTTTGTGTTTTTCTGGTGTGAATACCCATATTTCTTATTCTTCTTGAAATAGTAATAAAAAATTATTAGATTGAGAATGGGGCACTGAATAGACTATAAACTCTAATGCTATCCTAGGGAATCAAATTATTCTCACCCAAGTTGTGGAATCTTATATTAAAGAAAGTAAAGACAAGTCAGAAAGGAGGAGAGTATGTAATTAAACAATTGTGTGTACAGATAGGCTTTAGTACAAGCCTGAAAAGGTATTAAGTGAGTCCAAGAAAGGCATGAAGAAAAAAAAAATCTGTATTTTCTGACTTGCTATACTTGCGTGCTTTGGAGTGCAACAGGCACTGAATGACAGGTGCTAGGCCGTGTGTCAGATGCTGGGTATATATTCGTTTCCTCAAGAAGTGGGTAGCATAATAGAGGGGAGAACACCTGTAAACAGGTGTAAAAAAAGAAAATTTGTCGGTGTGATAATGAAAGCTTATCGAGGATATTATTAGACCCAAAAGGAAAGAGCATGCTCAGTTCTGCACTAGGGAAACCTGCAACTGTGCCTGAGGTTTACACAGTAGTCCCATCTCCAAAGAGAAACGTTCCCGATGAGTCCCAATGCTTCAAAACGAAACTAGGTTTGCCCTCTAGGGATCTAATTCATTCAATTCCGTGGTTGAAGGATTGGGTGACACCATTAAGGGAAAGCATATTTTCCTTCTGTTGTTGTTGGAAAGAAGTCACATCCAAATTTCAAAAGGCACAGAGGGCAGAGGATGGAAGCACTCCTGTTTGCCATATGAAACCACAAATAAAATAATTTTAAAATGTTTATTTTGTAAGAACTTTTTGTTTTATTTATTTTTATTGTAAAACTCTGCCAATTATAAGAGCACATTTATTGGAATTACTAGTGAAAAGAGAAAAACGTCTCATTGAAGCGTGTATTGGTGAGGAAGAACTCGAATGAGCATGAACTGGATGAACTTGCATAACAGAAGGTGGGAGTGCTGATAGACGGATTCCATCCTCTTAAATGCATAGGTAAAAGTATATCCTTTTTATTATCATAAACATTATGCCCAATTAACCAGCCCCAAAGTTAAACCACAGGTAGGCACCTTTCTATGCTTCATCCTCTTTGCTTCAGTCCTTCTTCAGACCCAGGTCAGTGAATTGGTTCTATAGAAAAATGGTCTATGGTCCTGGCCATGGCTGCACCATTCCCAGGACCTGGGATATTTTATTTTACATTCTCTAGTAAAATAAAAAGTAAAAAGATTTACTTTTTGTAAACATCAGAGCCTGCTCCCCTACCCACGCGGCCATTTAAAACACAAATAAAAGATAAAAGAAAAAAATGATTCTAATTGGACAGGCCTGCTCTGGGACCTGGCATTGGTATTAACAAGTAAACAACAAAAGCTCCTATGAAGCTGGGATGTGTAGTCACTGACCTATTGAGAGCCACTAACATTTAGGAAGGAATAAAATTCCTCCTATAGAAAGGAAAAAGGATGGTGATATGTAATTTTATTTATTTTTATTTATTTAAATTCAATTAGTGAACATATGATGTAATTTTGAAATCTTTCAAGTTTTTATATAAGTGCTAGTTAACATAGAGTGTAATATTGGTTTCAGGGGTCGAGTTTAGTGATTCATCAATTACGTAAACACCCAGTGTTCATCAAGAGTGCCCTCCGTAACACCCAGCATCTATTACTACCACTATTAGTAATTCCAGTAGTATAACTAATATTAGTACTTTTTTTGTACTTAAAGTAGGGACTGTGAAGGGATATTAAAGTTATATAAGTTTTATGGGGTTTTTTTTGTTTTGTTTTCTTCCAGGTGCTTATATCTATCAAGGAATAAATGTGAAACAAACCTTTTACACTACATTCTATTCTATTATGTGATAGTATATTACATTTTAAGAGAGTAGTATGTAGAGAGTGCCATTGTAATCCAGTTCAAAGGATCGAGGTGAGGTTGAATGACTGTTACAGAAGCAACAGGGGGCACTTCAGTTGGACTTATTAGTTATCATTTTCTCAATAGAAATGGAGGAACTGGGGAGAGGGTGGGATTCCAGATGAAAAAAGCAACACCAGTGTTGTATCCTTTTTACAGAGGGGGAAATTGAGCCTTAGACTAATTGGATGGCTTACCACAGACTCTTATTTGGTGTCAGAGCCAATATTTTTTTCCTTCCTTCCTTTTTTTAAAAGAAAATCTTTTTTTTTTCTTTTTTCATTTAATGGTCTTTTCACTGTATTATGTCACCGAAGGGCTGGGAACCTCTTGGGGATCAAGAACCTTTTCTCTACTTGCCAACATTTTTAGCCTTTTAAAAAAATGTATTTCTGAGAATACAGAGAAATAGATGGCATTTTATGGGGGCATGTTTATAGATCTTGTTAAGATGAGTGATTTAAAAATGAGTCAATAATTAATCAATGTTATTAGCTTTTGAGGAACTAGAAGCTTCCGTTGGGAAATAACCTGCAGTTGGAAAGCCGCAGCTTACTTCGTGTTGCCTAAAATTGTGCGCACACTAGAGAATGTAAAATAAAATATCCTTACAGTCTGCATGAAGGCAAACAGCTTTTTGAATTCCCTTTTGATGTAACTTCTTATTCAGTGAAACAATATTATGTAGGTCTCTGTACAAACTGTAAGAGAAATTGACCTAGAACTGATTTTAGTGCCAGATTCTACAACAAACTTATTTGTAACGAGTCGTATTTTGAATTTATTTCTTGATTTTTAAAAATACATCCAGTGTTCTGTTGGAGTAGATTAACTCTTGGAAAAAACAAAGGCATCCACTTAATTCAAATTAGAAAGAGAATTACACAATAGAGATGATCACTATTACGGAATTCATTGTGGAATCTTTGAAATGAAAAGTGTGTACACTGGATGGGAACATTGTCAGGAGTGGGTTTGTTGCTGATTTTTTGATGGTGTTTGTGTTTAAAACCCATATTCATCACTCTATCTGTGTGAACTTGGGTGAGCATTTAAATTTCTAAGCCTATCTCCTCATCTTTAATGAAAATTATATCTGGTTATTTTGAGGATTTAAATCCATGCCCAGCACATAGTAAGAACTTAAGAAAGATCAGCCATATAAAGTCATGTTTCTTTTCTCCTCTGTTTTGTTTTCTAAGCCTCTGGAAGAAGGTTCTGGTATCATTTTCTGTTACAACTTGAGGTTTATGAAGGGAAAAGGTATAGTAATGACTTCTCTTCTGTGTCCCACCAAGTCGAGGTTCACAACCACCTGGCAAAACCATCTCTGTGTTGGTTTGCACTATCAAAATATTGCTAATGCACCATGTTTTAAAGGGTTGTCTTCCCTGGGCACCAATGTCATGGCTACTGTTGTAAGTTATGGTCAAGTTCAAACATGTATTTAAAGCAATGTCTGAAAGAGTGATTTAATACATACCATTAAAAATGGCTGATTCACTTTGTAGATGAATAACTATACATTAATTACATTTTAAGCATAAAAACAAATAGCAAAATGCATTTAAAAATACTACAAGAGGGGTTCCTGACATAAATTTATAATTCTTCCTCTCTAGAAATCAGTAAAACCTCTGTTGCTATATAATGGTGAGTTTTGTTTTACTTCTGGAGTGACTACAACTTTGTTGCTTCTTGACTCTTAGTCTGGATGATTCTGTGCTGTGTGCTTTCTTATACTCATTCACCAAGTTTGTATTGAGTTCCTGTTATTTAACAAGCATTATCCTAGGTATTGGAATACAGTGTAAAAGTGAATAACAAAACTCTTGCATCCATAGATTTTCTAGAGCAGGAGAGAGAAAACAAAATCCACACATAATTCCTTCAGGTAGTGCTCAGTGCTACATAGAGAAGCAGATACCATAAGGAGTTGGGTAGAGAACAATGAGGGTGCCATTTTTCAGTGAGATGTCCGGAGGCATCTCTGAGGAGATGCTTCTTGACTAGAGACCTGCTAAAAGGTCTGGGTGTTGGAGGCAAACTACAGAAATTTTTATATTCTTTCTGAAATTGCCTTAGATTTCAAACAGTCCTTACCAAATATCAGACAGAAAAATAGTTGCTTTCTGGAAGATACTGTGTAAAACTTTCATAACCGGCATTCACTCCTAAACGATGGCTTCACTCCCTCTGTTTATCCCCCACCTCTCTCTCTCTGTCTTCCTCATCCTCTCTCTGTCCCCCCACTTGTCTCCCACTTTCTTTCCTTTCCTTTCTTCCTTTGTCTTTCTCCCTTATATTTCTCTGGCTCTTGTCATTTGGAAATTCATTGATTATCCATTTCATGACTCCTACTTATAGAATTCACCAACTGTAAAGGAAGAATTCAAAAGGCATGATGGAAAAGACTGAAATATTTATTTTGGAAGTGACCACATAGAAATAAATTTAATTGTACATGATAAGCTAATTATAAATCTTTTTACTGGTTATTATTTTGATACACCTTGGGTTAAGCTCAGGTGAAATTTTAGTTTGAAGACTATAGGAAATAGCTAGGAAAAAGAAAAGGAAAAACAAATACCTGCACAAATTCTTATATTTCTAAAGTTATCTACAGAAACTCTAAATATTTGTTTTTCTGCAACACAATAAAATATACTTATCTTTTTACACACTGTGACTATATTTATTTGACAAATATAGCAAAGAAAAAAGTTTGTATATCAGAAAAAGTGTTATTTTCCTGTACTGATTCAATCAAGCCCTATCCTGTTTATTTGGAGGCAAAATAGCTAAGTGAAATATGAAAAATTCAGTCCGTAATTTAATAACACTCAGGTAGATAAATGCTAACATTTATTGTATATCTGACATGCACACAATAACATTTCTGTAACATTTATGAAAACAAATCTAGAAGGTTCTCTTTGCCTAAACCTTATAGAGCAGTTTCACAGAGTAACTCTACCCAAGTTAGTTAGTTATTAATCCCCCCAAAATCAGGATTTTTAGGGCCTTTCTAGATTATAAAAATCACATTCCTTGTAATACATATTCTCCCTAGAAAAACAAGCAAGCATGGACAATATGCATGGAGGCCACACAAAGAAATGAATCAGCCAACTGCTATTTTTCCTAGAATTGACCCCAGATGTAAAGAAAGATTCAGTTTCCATTAAAGTAGTATTTTGAGTTTCAATGGTGAAACTTTACCCCAAATCAAATCCATTATGTTGACTCCCATTTTCTACAGATTAAGATAATTTGGTTTCTAAACTCTATTCGTGATCTACTGGTTTTCTAAACTCTATTCATGATCTACTAAAGGCCTTAAGAACACAATATTGAATTTTACTTGTAGACTATTCCATTTCACAATGACACCAATTCTTTTTTTTAAAAAGATTTTATTTATTTATTTATTTATTAGAGAGAGAGAGAGCCCAAACAGAGGGAGCTGTAGGCAGAGGGAGAAGCCGACTCCCCACTGATCAGGGAACCCAACATGGGACTTGATCCCAAGACCCTGGGATCATGACCTGAGCCGAAGGTGGACGCTTAACTTACTAAGCCACCCAGGCGTCCCATGACACCAATTCTTTTTTTTTTTTTTTTTAAGATTTTATTCATTTATTTGACAGAGAGAGACACAGCGAGAGAGGGAACACAAGCAGAGGGAGTGGGAGAAGCTGGCTTCCTGCTGAGCAGGGAGCCTGAGGCAGGGCTCCATGCGGGGCTCGATCCCAGGACCCTGAGAGCATGACCTGAGCCAAAGGCAGACGCTTAACGACTGAGCCACCCAGGCGCCCCCGTGACTCCAATTCTTTAGCCTAATATTTAACTGTCAGATCAATGACTAGTAACGGAATCTTTGGCTGATGTAAGAAATTGCCTAATGAGTTTTATACAAATTACTTAATATTTTCCATGGCGGTATGAGTTAATATAACAAATCCTTTTGCAAAACTCATGTTCATTATACAGATATGTATCAGTTTCAATCTCGTTTATAAAATATATATCTTATTACAATCTTCTTATTGAGAATCTTATCTGATTTTCCCTCATTAAAGATTTTAGATTAAAATTTTAAAACACTTGCTTTATTATTTCTCAGGCCATTTATCATTTATTTATTAAGGATTTTATTCATTTATTTGAGGAAGAGAGAGGACAAGCAGG